TTCCCTGGTGTGAATATTCTGCAACAATGCATAAGATTCTAATAAGATTACACACATATAGAAATGGGAGGAAAGGAGCTAAAGATGTAGGGAAGGTGTGATACGTAGGGGAAGAACAAAAAGGGAAAAGAAAAAAATGTGAGAGAATGAAAAGATGAAAATAAAGTGTTTGTAGATGGGGAGGGGAGGGGGGGGAAGTAACAATAAATGTAACTGTACTGTATCCCTAAATGTACCAATAAACTCAATAAAAAAAAAAATGCAGCAAAGATTGTTAAGTAGAAAACATACAAGACAGAAATGGCTGCTCTTATGTTCCCACTTTGGAAGTTCAAGTTTTATATAATTTTATAACGTTCTTTGGAATGGACTCGTCTCCTCCTAAGCAGCACACGAGTCCAGCTCAGAAGTGTGTTCATATATTCAAGATTTATTTTGAGGACATCTTTCATTTCTTATTCCTTCATCTTATCCGTGGAAGAATACTGCGCAATTGTAAAAAAAAAAGACAAAAGAAGTTTGAGATTATATTCTGTTTTGAGAGGTGAATGTTGGCTTCCACAGCAGCTTCACAGAAGTCCATTTCATTGGCTAAGAATATCATTCTTGTGTTTAAGTCCCACTAACCCCTGTTTTGAAGAGATAACAAGTTATTTTTTTAAGTACATGTGAGTCATTACTAAAGAAGGTCTAACCCTCTAAGTAAAATGTAAGTGTTCTTTTCTTTTTCAGGGACACGTGACCATCAGAAATATGAAGAACCCATTTGTACATCTGGCTGAGCCTTTGGACCCTGCACAACCAGGAAAAAAATTCTTTAATTTAAATAAATTGGAGGATTCAAGATATGGTAAGTATGTGGCTCTGTGATGTAATTGCTTTGATAACAATTAAAATTAGACTCCAATTGCATAATAATTAAGCTATGTGATTAATTAACCTTTAGAAGAGCTGGGAGAGGGAGTAACAAAGAATAAGTGAATGTTCTTGGGATAAGTTTACACACCCATCACATACACCACACACACACACACACACACACACACCACCCCTTGCTTACACTTGTTATTTTTGAGTAGATGATTAATATGTACATGAATATTTATCTAACACCATAGAATATGTAGTATTTGTACATTCATATTTTATGTGAATAATAACCATAGGGGACATGTTTATAAAATAAAAGAAATCTTTAGGAGGTTGAGTCCCGGAGAGAGACAGAGAACACATGCTCAAATAGCATGAATGTGGGCAGCAGAAAAGGACAAGATAGCAAGTCTTATTTACTCCTGTGTATATTCTACCTTTACTGTCTTTTCCAAATAATATTGGTAAGAAATTTTCATGTAAAGCTGGAACTGTTATTTGTAATTAAGCAAAGATTTTCTTCTGAATTTACTATTGTTTTATCTTAGAAACTAGCTACTATGTGGCCATGCTACATGATGTTTAGGATTTTTTTTCCTTGGAAATATGTATGTACCTGTGGGCTTAATTATAATAATTGTAAAAGTTATTTTCTCATTTCTTAAGCATTAGTTTTCATAAGAAATACTACTTTATGTGCATATGTTTATAAATATATATATATTACCTGGTATAATACAGTGAACAGCTAGATTGACAGTGAGTTGTGATGAATTAAGGGAGACTTTCTGTTCCTGGCATTCAAGGCAAGTTAACCATTTAATATGAAAAAAATAAACTGTATTCGTTTTTTACCTGGTCTGTATTTTCTACTACTGAATGTTTCTTCAACCACTTCATTATCCTTATAAACTGTCAATTATTTTGCCCTCTTTTCTGTTGGAAGAATAATCTGATGCCTTATATACTACTTTATATACATACTGACTTTAAAGAGATCTCTTATAATTAGGTGTCTCATGTTTTTTGCTTGTTTATAATGCTTTCTTCTTTATTCTCAGGACACTTGCCATTTTCTATCAGGGTTCTTCTGGAGGCAGCCATTCGGAACTGTGATGAGTTTTTGGTGAAGAAAAGTGACATTGAAAATATTCTAAATTGGAATGCCACGCAGCATAAGAACATAGAAGTGCCATTTAAACCTGCCCGTGTCATTCTGCAAGACTTCACGTGAGCCTGATGTCACTTCTCTTTCTTCCTTTGTCAGCCTTTCAGGAAAAAAAGTTGTTTTTTAATAAACAAACAAGAAAAGCCCTAGGGTGACTGTATAATTTACCCCCAAATAGTCAGATTCTTTGGAAAGCAAAAGAAGGGTCTTGTCCATGGCAGCAAAAGTAAACTGGGATTATTTGAGGCAACCTTTGTCCAAAGTCATTATCCTTTGTCTTGAGCATCCTGGTCCTGGGTGAGAAAAATAGCTTGAAGTGGCACAGACCTGGAAACCTGCCTGGGGAGCCAGGTCTCAAACATTGCACTTGGACACTGCTATAGCCCACGAGGGGAGATAATGTATTCCCCAAAGCCTTAATGTTTGGTCTCAGCTCACATCCTGCTAGTCGTAGGATCCCTGCCTGCCATCATAGCCTCCTTTCTGAGACATGATCTATTTTTAAGTGATGTTATTGTGTTCCTTCCAGAGACATGATTTTATTTTCCTAGAGGAAAATCACACAAATTTTATACTTTTAAAACAACAGAGGAAAAGATTCACTTACCATAAATCTGATTCATGGCCTATATATGCTACATTATATCCATCCCTTTAAGTTTGGCAGGTGTTGGAGATGTGATCTGTCTTCTCCAGGGATTTGTCCACTCACCTTTTAAATGGGAAGAAGTCACAACAAGAAAACTTCCCAGGGGTTAATGTGCCAGATTTTCCAGTTTCTCTTCTTAGGCCATAGTTGTCATTAAACTTAATATAGTGGTAAAATTATGTATAGAGATTCTACTTAGTCATAGCACTTGTTACCTGTGTAATTCTTTGGCTCAAAGAAATATGCTTTGTAACTTTCACTTTCACATCACTTATTAGCTGCTCTGGTGAAGTGATTCCTTGTCAGTGTTGTCAGTGGTGACAGAAGTTGCAGATTCCAATCATATATGTTTAAGGCTTATTTTCCACTTACTTTCTCCTCCTTTTCTCAGGGGTGTGCCAGCTGTAGTTGACTTTGCTGCAATGCGTGATGCGGTGAAGAAGTTAGGAGGCGATCCCAAGAAAATAAACCCCATCTGTCCTGCGGATCTTGTAATTGATCATTCCATCCAGGTCGATTTCAACAGAAGGTAAGAAAGGATTAAGATGAATTCCTATGTTTTCTGCAATTTCTTGGAATATGGATTTTTTAAAAATGTATGTATGTACTTAGAAGAAAATCTTCGAAATGTATCATCAGGAACATTCAAACTTCGCAGAGATTTTGATATTGATTAGAGATTTAGATATTAAGAAATAATGAGTATTTTTTAAAGTAGTGTTTTCTTTAAAAGCTCTTTTTGCTTGTGTGTTTATTTGTTCCGTGGGATTGAATCTAGCTTAAACTCTGAGTGGAAACATACACATTAAGTTCTGTGACAAGAGCTTGTCAGTGCACGTGCATGTTTTACTTTAAAAGAGTTGGGGTATTTTTTATTCACTGGAACTTTATTACTTTTTTGATCACAAGTAACTGTTTCATATTTGGCTATCTGTACCTCTCCATGTGTGTTTCCAAAATGCCAATCCTTTTCTTTTCCTTTATTTCTTCTTCTCTTGTTGGAGTAGGATTTCCTCTCCTTTCTTGCCACAACCCTGCCTGTGTTTCACGACCAGTTTATATACTCTTTTGTTAAGATACCCTCACTCCCTACCCTACGTCAAGCTTGACTTGCTAGACTAAGTGTCTGTGGTGGACCTATCATCCTTAGAGGGAAGGTGTTACTCAAGTTGCTTTGGTTGATAGACTTTTGGCTCCCCCAAAGCAAGAGATGAGCATGTAATAGACACTTAACACATACTATGCCAGGTAACCTTGAAGTTATCTTTGGTCTCACTGAGAACCTTGATATTTAAGTAAAGGCTCAAGTGGAAAACCTCAAATCTCTAAGGATGGTTGGGTTTCTCTTTTTAAACCTGTGGACTCACCCTTGCTTTCCAAAGTTGGAGGTACTAACATGTCTTAGTAAAGAAAGAAAGCTTTTTACAAAGGATAAAATTGAACATGTGGTCGTAAACTATCAACTTAGTCCTGATCTCTTAATAAACTTTTAACTACTTCTTAAGCAAATTGTATGTAGCATTGGTGATCCTAGTTTGTTGATGAGATATCTGTCTAAAATCTGTGAGACTAAAGAGTCAAGTAGTAATGGTCAGTTCTCCTGATACAAGCTTTTATTCCTCAGTCACATTCTCCAAATTGAAAGTTTTGAGAATGAATCTTTGGGTTAAAATGTCATTAGAAGATTAGACACTATTGTGCATTCCCAGTCCCCTGTAAGATATGTAAAAATGGTATTAAAACTATGCAACAGTTGAATCCAAGTGAAGCACTTCAGTGATTTGATAGAACTCAAAAGAGCACCCAATGATATTAAACTTGTGAAAAAAGAACCAAGAATTAAACTTGAGGAAAAAGAAGTCAGTCCCCTTTGCCCGTAAAATCAAAATGGTAGAGACAGGTGGGAGTGAGATAAAGCAGAAACTTTGCTGTTTGTCCTTTAATGCAAAAGGTAGTTTGCACCACCACACTATGAAGATTTCAGTGTAAAGGTAGACATGGTAGTATATTTGTGTAATCGCAGAAGTTACAGAGGCTGAGGCAAGAGGATTGCAAGTTTGAGTCCAGCCTGAGCAATTTAGTAATGTAGTGAGACTTAGTCTCAAAATAAAAAATATTAAAAAAGGAGAGGCATTAGGGCTGAGAATATAGTTCTGTGTTAAGGTCCTGGGTTCAATCCCAGTATTCCAGCAATGATAATAAAAATCAGCTAAAGAAAACTTGTATATTTCATAATAAAAGGAAATGCACATCGTAAACAGTATATAAAGTTTTTCAATTATTGAAGTAATGAAAAATTAAATAAGTTTTTGAGATACCATTTTCTCTTATCAGTATTAAGATTAGAAAATAATTATGAAAGTGTCATGAGAGAGACACTTTTATACACTGCTAATAGCAATGTAAGTTAGAAATGATAAAAGTGCTACATAGTAAGACCTTAGACATTTCTGTATCTCTTGTCCTAGAATTTCTACTTCCAAGTAAACTTAGTAAATATCTGAAATTCAGAAAAAGCTCTTTATTTAGTAAATATCTGAAATTCAGAAAAAGTAATGTTTACTAAAGTCTTATTTATAAATGAAAACCAGAAACATAAATGTCCAAAAAGATGAATGATTTATTACATTACAGTAATCCTGAAAGTGAATTATTAGGTAATCTATTAATTATATTTATAAAGTATTTATAAAGGTTTACATTGTAGCCTAATGTGCCAGATGCTGAATTGCATATGTATTGAGTAATTACAGCTAAATCTAAGGTTATGCAGGAATTAAAAAATTGAAAAGAGGTGTCTAGGGCTGGGGATGTAGCTCAGTGGTGCCATGCCTGCCAGGCAAGTGCAAAGTCCTGAGTTCGATTCCTAGTACAGGGCAGGTGGATTTCAAACTGTAAAACAATTATCTTCATATCCAGTCTTTATTTTTACAACATAGAAAGATATTATTTTGATATATATTTACTTATTTATTTAGTAATTATTTTGTGATACTGGAATTGAATCCAGGGCTTTTACACTGAGCTACATTCCTAGCCCTTTTTACAATTTTTAACTTTTAAAACACTAAGTTGCCCTGGATAAGCACAAACTTTTGGTCCTCCTGTTTCAGCTCCCAGAGTGCTGGGATTAGAAGTATCCATCACCATACCTGGCTATTTTGATCATTTAAAAAAGTCACTGGTGTGAATAATCTGCAATAATACATAAGATCCTAATAAGATTACTGTCATTTAGAAATGGGAAGAAAGGAGCTAAAGGTGTAGGGAAGGTGGGATGGGTAGGGGAAGAGTAATAAGGGAAAAGAAAAAAAATGTGAGAGAATGAAAAGATGAATAAAGTGTTTGTAGATGGGGAGGGGAGGGGGGGTGAAGGGAGGGCAAAGGTAAGGGGAAAAAATGAGAATCAAGACTTGTCATGTAGAGGTACAAGATCCCAACAATGAATATAACTACTGTATCCCTAAAATGTACCAATAAACTCAATTAAAGCTGAAAAAAAAAAAAGTCACTCATGGAGGGTAGGGGTATGGGGAAAAAATAAGAACCAAGATATATCGTATAAAGGTACAAGATCCCAATGGTAAATGTAACTTCATGGTTTGCTTTAAGTGTACCAATAAATAAAAAAGTAACTTCAAAGGAAAAATAAAACTGCCTATGTTTACCTCCTTGGAGAATGAAGTGATTTCCATACATACTCAGAGGGAATTTAGAGCATGATCTTTCTCTAGTTAACATTGCAAGTATCTAAACAAGATAAACCTGGGATAAAGAAAAATGTGCTTTGTACCCCAAATTGAAGTTCTTGATACAAATAGGTTGAATATTTGTCACCTTTCCCTTTTCCTTTGGAGTCTGAAAGCATCCTTAGGCACCATAATAATGTCTTTTCCTCTCTCTCCCCCCTCTCTCTCCCTCTCCTTCACCCTCTCTCCTTTCCTGCTCCTCTTTCTATCCCTTTAAATCACATGAGCTTAATGTATTGATTTCAGAAGGAAAAATTTAAAATATAGTCATAAAATGTTACCTTTTTTGAGAGTAAGTGTGTTTCCTAAATTCCCACTCTGGAAGTTATAAAAAAGTAGCCTCACAAAATGATAGCCAACTCTATCTTCTTGAAGCCTATTGATGTTGATTTTAATCTTCATTTCCCTGGCCTGAACAGTGAAAGTACTGCTGAGAACAGAATTCTAGTTGTTTACATGACTCAGGTCTCTTGATTCAGAAAGCACATACACATGAATGCATATTGGTCATCACCAAGTTCACCACCATTTTTTTTTCCTGGTTCTGAATTAGTTCTGAATTTTTATAAGGCCTTTTTGATTTACACTGATACATAATTTTATTATGAAAAAAGCTAAATCCAGGGTTAACTTCATTCCATGTGCACATCAAATCTAGTGAACATACATATGTGTGCACACATGTATTTGTATGTGTGTATAATTAAAACATTTCAATTAGGGATATTTTCATTGGTGGTGTTAGGTATTTTCAGTTTTGTTTCTTGAGTTTTGGTTTTGCAATTTGACTTTCTGGTCTCTTACCTCAATTTTTAAGGAATTAAATACGGTATGTCTCAGCCTACGTGGGACTGTGCACCATGGGCCTATTTCGAGCTGTGTTCCAGAAATGAGCTAGAAAAATTGGGTAAGGGTAGTAGGGCAGCATGCTTTTCAGTTAATTGTTTCTAAGCTTATTGTCTGGCTTTAATAATAGCATTTGGTTGCACATCATCTCTAGGAATTGAGGATTTAAGTAACATTATTGTAATGTTTTCCTTTTTTAAAGTCATAGCAAGAATATCACAACACTTTCTCACCAAATCTCATGAATGTGAAATTTGTCTTCTCTATAAATATTACTTGTGAATTGTAAAACACTGTTCAGTGTAATTCTCAGGAACTATGAACTGTGTCTAACTGTGAATTCTAATTATGCAACTAAAAAGAAAGTATCCCTTTAGTCTGAGAGGTCATTCACATTCAGAGACCATATCAAAACTTCAGTAGAGTCAGATGTGATACACCTGTAATCCCAGTACTCAGAAGGTTGAGGCAGGAGGATTGCCATGAGTTTGAGGTCAGCCTGGTTCTACTACACCAGGCTCTTTCCTTAGGTTTTGTTGGCCATATGCTGCCCCTATTTCATATCTCCCCCTAAACTTAAAAAGTACAAAAATCATTCTTTGTTTGAAGGCCAGGTATATATAGGCATTGGGCTGAATTTGGCCCATGGCCTATTATTTGGAAACTCCTGCTCTAATACAATCTCAGGAATTGATCTCATTAAAGCAACCAACACTTATGTTGGAGAATATTCACAGCAAGACAGAAAAACCCTCAGTATGGTAAATGAGTGTATTTATGTAAGTAATATGTTCTCCAGGCCTTTTCTCCCCAATGAGTTCCTGCCCATTTTTCACTGGTTGAGTCCAACAAGTCTTACGTACTTCATGCTGCCATTTCCTTCCGGAAGGCATTTGGGACCTGTGCACCTGAGTGTACCCATGGCACCTGTACATGCTACACTGAGCATTGACAGTCATATTCTTACTATTGCCTAGTTGCTTCCCTTTCTTTCACTAGGTTCTGAGTTCCAAGCACGCAATGATGGTGCCCCTTTTATATACCGTTGTATTCCCAGGATGACACATGATAGGCTCTCAGTGGATAATTGGTAAAGAAGGGAAGGGTTAGGCAAGAAATAAAGAGTTGGCTACATTAGAGATCCAGAGCCAGACCCAGATTCAGATGACGGCTCTGTTATTTACGAGACACCTTATGTTGGATGAGTTAAACTTTCTGTGCCTCAGCTGCTGTTTCTAAAGGTTATGTTGAAGATAACAGAAGTCTGTGTGAGGGGTTGTGTGATTGAGCCAGATCATGTGTGTAGCACTATTACTGTGGGTAGTGCTCGTTATCGCCACCAGCACCTTTACCACAACAGTCTGTCTAGCTGCTCCTGTGGGGAGGAGGTGTGGAATAGGGATTAAGAATATAAACTTTGAGTTAGACTGCTTCAGTTCCATTCTCACTGTTTATTAGCCATGTGGCGCTCAGCAAGTTTCTCAACCTATGTCTCATTTTTCTCATTTGAAAAATGTGTATATTAGCTATACCTAACTCAAAGCATTTTGATGGAGACTAAATGAAAAACCATTAGAATAGTGACTGGTTCCTAATAATGTCAGTAACTATGATAATTACATTAATTAATGAAGGATGACTTGGATCTTAGCTATTAATTTTACTTTCTTTAATCCATGATACGCAAATTATGAGCACTCTTATTGTGCTAAACCCACAGAATTATGTCTGTGAACTGTGACTTATTCTGTCATGACACAAAACAATGCAGTTGGTTATAAAATTCCTGGAAAATCATCTTGATAACCTGCATTGCTGATGTCTGAATTGAATGGCCTTGAGTAAACCTCAGTGCACAATGTGGGATAGCACCATCTTCCTAATAAACCCTTGTTTAAAAGTTAGGGGATTGTGACTCAAAGTGACTGAGGCTCTTGGCATTGCCATTTCACCATCTCCCAGTAGAAACAGGTAAAAATGCCTCCCAGATGTAGCTCAGCTCAGAGAAGTGACAAGGTTGTAGGTGAGAAGGAAATACAGAAACAGGGTTCCATAAATGTCTAAGCTGCCTTTGGAACGTAAATGTCTTGAGTTTGTTCCTGTGAGTCAGATTTTTATGGTTAATTTTCACTTGAGTTCAGCTCATGTTTTCTGTTCATCATACTTAAGAGCATTGTAGGAATCACTTGAATCAAGTAATTACTCTGTTTATTTTTGCTTTCTACTCTGACTTTCCAGATTATAATAGTGAAATTCATAATACTACCCAGCAAACCTGCAGGTGCAATTTCCGTTTTGTTTACTCAGCACCAATAAAATTGACCAGTTAAATTTTAAGCCTTGAATTTGTACATTTAGTTTTTCTTGTTGACAGGGTAGACAGCTTACAGAGGAATCAAGACCTGGAATTTGAAAGAAATAGAGAACGATTTGAATTTTTAAAGGTATGAGCTGAGTTTATATTTCATTGATTTTCTGTATATGTAGCACGAGGAGGGAGGTATTCAGGAGATGGGCAAAGTGGCGAAGTAGAACTGTATAAGTATTGACGGTGTTTTTTCCATTGTACAATCCTAGTGGGGTTCCCAGGCTTTTCGCAACATGCGGATTATTCCCCCCGGCTCAGGAATCATCCACCAGGTGAATCTGGAGTATTTGGCAAGAGTGGTATTTGATCAGGATGGATATTATTACCCAGACAGCCTCGTGGGCACGGATTCACACACTACCATGATTGATGGTTTGGGTGTTCTTGGTTGGGGTAAGTGTTCTTCTGGGTTTTTGTTCCATATTCACTGTTTTTAAAGCATGTGCTTTAGTTCACTTTGATGCCAGTACTTCTAAGTGTCATGGATTTACATGATCAGTTACAGGAGAAGAATTTTTATCTTTTTATTACAGTTCCCAGAAAAGTACCTTGCACCCAGTAAGTATTAAGTTTATGTTTGGAAAAACAGACTGGAGTAAGGGTATAGGGACATTTTACCTAAGTGAAAATTGGCTGGTATGTTGTTAATTTGTCCTCTTTTTTTTTTTTCTTTTTTGTGTCCTGAGGATCAGATCCAGGCCTTTTTACTTTACTGCTGAGCTATATCTCTAGTTCACCAGCTGTATTTGCTTTTTCAGGAGGTAGGGTGGAGTGTGTATGTTAAAAATGGAGACTTTTAGCTGGATGGAGTGATACACACAGCAATCCCAGCTACTCAGATGGGGAAGACAGGAAAATCATTAAGTTCAAAGCCAGCCTACCAATTGAGCTAGTCCTGGCTATATAAATAGAAGCCAAACTAAAAAGGAACCAAGAATATAGCCAAACACTTTCCTCAGATGTCACCTTGCTTGCTGGTGCTGGGGCAGCGATGGCAGCGCCTACAACTGAGGGCAACTCCTACCCATGTGCTGGTTCGAGGCCTGCGGAGGGAAATGCGATGTCTGAGCTGAGTCGCTTACCCCCATCTCATCTGGCTGGTTTGCGCTGGGACAGCGACGGCACTGTCCAAGGAGAGTGCCGCCAATGGGAGATGCAATGTGAGCGCAGAGCCATTTCCCCAGATCTCACCTTGCTGGCTGCCGCTGGGTCAGCCATGGTGGCTGCCACATCAGAGGGTGTGGTGACCTGGACCCATGGGTTCGGTCCAGGTTATTGCAGGAATATGCGATATCTGAGACCAGCTGCTTTCCCTATCTCACCTTGCTGGCTGATGCTGGGACAGTGACGGCACTGCCCAAGCAGAGTGCATGGCTACCCAGATCCGTGGGTTTGATTCCCAGGTATGGGGAGAAAAATGGAGACTCCTAACCCTACTCCATTAGGTGGCACAGAGGGGATTTTGATATAGCTACTGGGGGGTAGTCACACTTTGAGAAGCACTTGTTAAAATTCTGTAGATGTGGGCTTGGGGTATAGCTGGAGAGCTATTGCCTAGCATGTAAGTAGCCCTGGGTCTAATCCTTAGAACAACAACAAAAGAAATGGAGAAAATAATAATAGTTCCTTATAGAAACACAACTCTGTACCACTTAAATACTGCAACTGAGTTTATTGCATTCATGCCTGAGGGATATAATAAGGGGTAAGGAAAGCATTATTCAGCCACACCTTCCATTGCAGGTGTGGGTGGAATTGAAGCAGAAGCTGTCATGCTGGGTCAGCCAATCAGCATGGTGCTTCCCCAAGTGATTGGCTACAGGCTGATGGGAAAACCTCAACCTCTGGTAACATCAACTGACATTGTGCTCACCATCACCAAGGTAATGGCATACTCTTCTGTGGTGTTGGAAAACCACTGACAAACACAGCATGAATACACAGTGGAGTATAATCTGGTAATGCTAGGAAACAACACATTTATAATTTTAAAACAAGATAAAGAGAATATTCTGCGGTTAAATGTTCATTTTATTCTTCTTTTGCTGCATAGACCTTTACCTTGATTTTTAAAATTATGACATAATTAAATACACAGAAATTAAAATGATATTTACCACTGACATTTATGGATCATAATATTTTGCCATATTTGTTTCAGGCCTCCCTGTGTTTGTAAAGAAGTAACATTAAAAAAAAAATAGAAGTAACATAAAATATTTATGGCTAAAGCCACCCTTCCCATTCCTAAAAATAATCACTATCCTGAGATTGTTCGAATTTTTCCCATGCACATGTTTTTTGCTACTTTTGCAGCATTTTTTCCACGTGGTTCTTATTTGTATGTAAATAGCATATATTCCATGAATAATGTATGGCTTTTAAAATTTACTTCTTTGCATTCCAAGTTACATTATTGTAGCATATTTCTCCAAGTTGGAAAATATTAGCATATTTTTCTTAAATTCTTGTTGGAAACCATCTTTGTTTGTGATTTGCTTGCTTTGCAAAAAAAAAAAGAAAGTTTCATTTTAGGAAACAGCAGTGGAAAATTGAGTTATGCTGGCCTCACACAATCACCTTGAGTTACAACCAGAATTTTAGTTTTAACTTTCAAACAGAGTCTTGAGTTAAGACCCGAATGCTGGACACTTGTTCTTCCAGAAGGTCTCAGATACAGATTTAACCCTTAAAGAGTTCTGCAAGGAACAACATCCTTTCCTGTGTGGGATTATTTGAGAAATCCTGGGTCAGTGTCTTTCTAAGAACACTGAGATCTGCCTGTATACAAGAGAGAGACTTTGAAGGCTGTGTAAAGGAGCCTGAGCCTTCAATTGACCAACCAGCCCTTGCAAATGAATTGAGTTTCTAAATCAAGGGTCTTCTGTATTGGAAAATGATAGTTTTTTTTTTAATCACAAGCATATTTTTTTCTGTTTATATGGTTTGGAGGCTTAGAGTGTATTGTATAGACGTCACACTGTAAATGCTCCCAAAAAGTTTCTCTTTGGCTTAATGTTCATGGCATTTGGGATTGGATTTATTTGAACACCATAGTTTATCACAGCTATCTGTGTGGTGTATTTTAATATGGAATAATATAAGGCTTGCTCACAGAATTTGGCAGAGCTATATAACCAAAAGAGCCTTTCCTTCTTGTGACTGTTGACAGCCTATAAAACTGGTTTTGTGCAGAGCCGTCACTCACAGAGCCCCACCCTCGACTGATGGCTTCTGTGGAAAAGACATAGGAGTTAGGCTGTCTGAATCCCTTTCTTACATTTGACTTGTACCTGTACCATGAATTTTTCCATTACACCTTCTAAAACAAGTCATTTACTTACTCAGTTAGTATGATTATATAATAATTTATTTAGGTTTATAAATTTTAGCACTCCTAGACACATCTGGTAACCTCATTAGGGAGTGTCTTTCATTTTGAAAACCTTCTCTTTATGTTATTTTGTGTTTTGGATTACTTTTTCTTTTTTAAAAAGAGCTATTTTGACATTATCTTAGATTTACAGGAGTGTTGGTAGAAAGATTATACAGGGAATCCCTGTTAATCTTTGTTGGTTTTCCCTTATGTTAACATTTCATATAACCATGGTACATTTCTCAAATTAGGGCTCTGACATCGGTCTGGTGCTCTCCACTACAGAGTTTACCAGTTGTTCAATAATGTCCTTTTGCTCTTCCTGGATCCAGCCTAGGATACTATGTTCTATTTAAGTGATATAGCTTCTAAGTTGATTTTTAATAACTTAAAACACATTGAGTTAATTTATTGTTTATGTTTGTTTACCTTAAGGCTAGTTTATAAGAATTGCAAGGTGATAGTTCTGCATTTTAAATGTGGACTCTTAATTCTCAGAGTTTTCTGTTTTTCCTGCTGCTTAGCACCTCCGCCAGGCTGGAGTTGTGGGCAAATTTGTTGAGTTCTTCGGGCCAGGAGTAGCCCATCTATCCATTGCTGACCGAGCCACAATCGCCAACATGTGTCCAGAGTATGGAGCAACTGCTGCCTTTTTCCCAGTTGATGAAGTTAGTATCAAGTATTTAGTACAAACAGGTAAGTGATGGATGGTGAAAGCAGAGGATTCGTCATTAAAGTTTTACGAAACACTGAGAATCTGAGCCCTGCCTTCTATCTCTGCCCTACACAATGTTCTTGGGTTAGAGTTACACAACTCTTTTTCCCTCTGTGTGATGTCAAAGTGGGTTGTGCGAACTTAGGTAAGAGATGGAAATGGTATAGAAAACAGAGCTCCAGTACTCTGAAAGCCTAGATATCGATACTGGTCTTGTCTTACTAGTTTTTTTGACATTAAACAAGTGATCTTAGTGATGGTGCCAGTATCTGTCGTTGATGGGGTACCTGTTGTGAATCAGGCTCTTGGTGTGCATTCGCTGTCATCTTCACATCTGTAGGGTAGATTGATTACTTAATTAAATAAAAGGAAAACACACTGAGGCCCAGAGAAATGTTATTACCCAGGCCTAATAAATAGCACAGACAGAGTCCAAGTCTGCAGCTGCCAACAAGACTCCACTGTGCCCCTCTTAGGTTGTTCAAAACTGAAATGAGAGCCTACATAGGAAGACATTTTACATCCACACATTTAATTTTGTATAAATTGTTTTAGAAGTTTGACTTTTAACACTGAGAAAGCCTTTTTTTAAAATTCTCATTTATTTTTCAAACATTAAATATTCAGTTCTTCATTTAAAACATTCACAATACTGAGTCTAGGTCTTTGACATATGGCAGTGAACAGAAAAATAAAGTCCTGCCATTGTGCAGCTTATATTTCCATGAGAAGCAAAGACAGTGAACAAGTAAACAGATACAAATGTGTGATAATGAGAAAAGAAGCAAGGAGATAGATAAAGTGCCCGAGAGTGTGACTCATGGAGCTGGAATTTGGACAGATGTGTTAGCAGGCGAGGGAGGGCTTTGTGAGAATCTTAGACTCTAGGTAAATTCACATCTCCTCCATAGTCTGAGGAAATTTCTCTGGAAGAAGTAAAGATTGTGATGAAATGTGCATTTAAAAAACATTTTTATTAAATAGAACCACTTGGAATTAACACATCCTTGTTCCCCAAAAAATAGAAGACAAAAAGATGTAGAAATGAACAGAACACATAGTTAAGGGCATTGGCCTAAAAAAAAAAAGGAAAAAGGGGAAAGGCAGCCAGGAGAAGAAGAAGGCTGCAGAATACATTCCAGACATCAGGTTCGGTTCTGTGGTGCTGACGGTGTAACTGAACTGCTCAGTGATCTGGCACCAAATCTGTAACACTCATTCAGTTGAAGCAAAGGGCTGTTTCATAAGAGTGAAACTCTTGTGCTTACTAAACCCAAAAGATATCTCTCCTGTTAATCTTCATGAACAAGACACATGGCACGTAATAAGCAGTGGGCTTAATAATAGGGCATGACAAAGTGTTGATGCTCATACAGTTGTCTTTTACCAGGTCCTTGCTAAAAGCTGATGACCTTCACTGCAGTTAGAACAAACAAAAAAATGTTGATCTATTGCATGTGTCAAGCTTTCAGTCTCATTCAACTGCCAGAGAAACAAGAGAACTGCGTGTCCATTGGGCATTCTTCATGAGTGTTATCTCCTACACCAAGATCTTGATTAAGTGTTAAATAAGAGAGGTTCAGGATCATAATCCTGATGACATAGCACTGTGAGTTAGGACTTTGGAGGCAAACTGAAGTTCAAATCCTAGTTGTGCCATTTGCTGTCTATGTCCATAGGAAAGTTACTGATCTTGAACCCTGATTTTCTCATCTGTAAATGAGAAATAATAATAGTGCTTATCTAATAAGGTAATGATAAAGGATTAGAGTTTGAAATAATATATTTAAATATTTTACAGAGTGCTAGGCACATAGAGAAAGTGCTTAATAGGTGGAGGTTTGTGGTGCTTTGGGTGATTATTTTAACAGTAGTAATGTGATACCACGTTAAGCATTTGTATCACCAGTTGAAGGTAAATGCATGAGTACACTTCAACAATTAGCTCAGGCTTATGATCCTCCTAATTAAGGGCTGTAATGAAAAGAAGAAAACTATGTAAGAGTATAACCAGATATTCCCCAGAAAACAGTTTGATAGGAATGATTGATAAGTTAATGGCCGCTAGAAAAAACATCATCAGCCAGAGGGTCAAATTATAAGCCTAAAGACAGAAGGGTAAACAGAGTTGTCAGTGTGTGTGTGTACATGGAGTGCATACTGCTTATATAACTGCTGATAGAGGTATTAATTTATGGTGTACATAATCAGGAAATAATAACATATATTACTTGTGACTACTACTTCCTTTTAGGTCGAGATGAAAACAAAGTAAAGCACATTAGAAAGTATCTTCAGGCTGTAGGAATGTTTCGAGATTTCAGCAACCCCTCTCAAGACCCAGACTTCACCCAGGTATGAAAGCACTTTCCAGCACATGCATTCTTTCCCAAGGCTGTAATTTTAGTTGTCTGTGCTTTTTCTTGGGGGATCCACTTGTAGGAAATCAGTCACTGCCAAGTTATTGTGGGAGAACAGGGTATTAAAAGCTGTAAAATGAAAAGGATAAGGAAATCATAAATATAACAAAATAACTTATGCAATTCCTACTTGCTTAATTTTATAAATTAAATGTGTTCCCCAGTTTTAAATGACTGATGCATGGCTTCTACATGGAAGACATTTGAAAGACTTGATTAGGAAAGCTAGAGCTATTTAAAGGCTAGTCCATCCTTGATATACTCCTGAGAAGAAGAGAAGAAGGTCTGAACATAGCAGCTAGTTTTATTTATTCAATGTCTAACCCAGTGGTGGAATCCATGGCATGCATGCTGTAGCAGGCTGTTTGTATCATTGAAACCTCTAAAAGGTTTGCCATCCACTGGCCTATCCTGTATTTTTGGGGGTGCAAACTAAATCTCTTATTTTTCCAGGCAACCCAGGTTGGAGGGTAAACCAGATATGAAACCCTTGTTTTGTTTCATATTACATTGAGAGACTGAGGTACTCAGACAAACACCCTTTTCCTGCCATTGATAACTTAGTAGCTGCATGTCCTCCAAATCACCTTAGAAGTTGGTTTATGTATCCTTTCAATAGAAATCCTGTCTCAGCTTAACCTAGGAAATAAAATGCATGCATGATTTGCTTTACAAGGATGGATGAGTGAAAGACCCTAGAAGCAACAATAGTGTCCATCCTGGTCTTTCTTAGAGGCAGCAAAGTTTTCTGCCTCTTCTGTGCTAGTTAAATTCCATATTGATCTTCAGGGATTAATTGCTTAAATGTTAGGAAGAACATTGGCTTCCTTGTTTGAAATAGGGTAGTTGTTTATTTGCTTATTTTTGTTGTTGTGATGTTTTAAATTCTGACATGACTTGGGTTTCTTGTTGGTGAGAATAATGTGAGTTATTTCTGTAATGCTTTTTCACTTGGGTGAATAGGTTGTGGAGTTAGATTTAAAAACAGTAGTACCTTGCTGCAGTGGACCCAAAAGGCCTCAAGACAAAGTTGCTGTGTCTGACATGAAAAAGGACTTTGAGAGCTGCCTCAGAGCCAAGGTAGGGTCCCCCCAGCTCTTTCCTTTTCTAGTGCCTAAGCTTTCACCTCAGTCAGTGATGAATCTTTCTCAAGTCTGGTGCCACTGGGGATGTTCCTTCTCCATTTTAAAATCCTAATGACTGTTAGCAATGGGTCAAGCAGCTTCTTAGGGCACATGATCTACTTTTCACATGACTTACCATGTTGTCCACTCAGCTCACCACTGCTTTTCAGGCCTTTGTGCTTTGTTCCTGCCACTTCCCGCTTGCATGTCTCTTCTCCATCTTGTTGGGTCCCATTTATTCAGTTTCATAAGCCTTGGCTCAGATACCGCTCATTTGCAAAATGGCCTCAGTCCCTAACTTGAATTCTGTGGCACTTGGTCTGAAACCTTTTGACAGGATTCCATATTCCTTAACTTATTTTGTTGTTTCTTCAGTTGCATGTACCGTTTCCCTTACTGAACTCTACTTCAGGGCATAGAGTTTATGTCAGAATCACTTTGGTACTTCATAAAGTGCTGAGCAGAATGTCTTGCACACAGATTTTTTCAGTGACTATTTCCCAAATGAATAAGATGTGTGATGGGTTTTACCAATGGAATACCAGTCTTACACCAAATGTTCAGTTGTACTTTGCAAAATTATTGATCATGATTAGTTGAATCTGGTGAAAATTGCATCTTTTTCTAAACTTCCAAAAGATTAGAATCAGTAGCTTTAGTCTGTGTCTAGTATTATGTAATACTGTTACTGTACAATAATGTCGTGGAGTTCTATAGAGACCAACTTTAAATTGTAGTTTTTGCATTTTCATTTTTGAGGAGAGAAGACAGTAATTGTTATCAATTTCAATACAGAGTATGATTAAGGAATTATGGCTGCCATTTGTAATAAATATAAAGAATAAAAAATACAATTTTTCATAGCATTTTGGAGTAGTTAGCAGAAATATTTATGTTTTAATAATTAACCTTTAAAATTATAGTTAGGCATGGTAGTGCATGCCTGTAATCCCACCTGTTTGGTAGGCTGAGGCAGGAGGGAGGATCTCAAGTCCGAGGCCAGCCTGGTCAAGTTAATAAGACTCTGTCCCCAAATAAAAAGGTTTGGGGATATAGCTCAGTGTAGTGCCCCTAGACTTGATTTAAAAAACAAACAAACAAAAAAAAAAAAACAGTTACCAAAGTATTCTTCCTTCTTCACATAGAACCTTTGATCATATGTGGTTTTTTTCCTACAGCAAGGATTTAAAGGATTCCAAATTGCTCCAGAACATTATAATGACCATAAGATGTTTATCTACAATAATAATGAATTCACCCTTTCTCATGGTTCTGTGGTAATCGCTGCCATTACTAGCTGCACAAACACCAGTAATCCGTCTGTGATGTTAGGAGCAGGTAAGTGCATTTGAATTCATTCCTGTGGTTGTGTGGATGTGCACGGGAAATTCCCCCAAGAGAAGACCCAGAGTCATAATTGAAGCCTAATTCCCTGAGTAAACCTTGTCTCTCTGGATGAAGAGATCTATTGGCTTAGAGATATCTATACAAATAGCATCCAAATCATTTTTAAAAATTCATCGTGCATAATAGTCTTTCTCCTTAGAATTAGCACAGAAAATAAAAGAAAAGCAGCTCAGTTTCTGGCAAAGCTTAGAATTGTGTTAGACTTTAGAAGAAAAAAAAAGAAACTGTTGTCATGTTATAGACTGTTCTCTGTGAAACCTCTGCCCAGGGAAATTTAATGCTGTCCTGGTGCAGCGACAGGTGCATCTGATTAGGGCATAGGGCACCAGTTGGTAAAACTCAGTGCAACTAACCTGTTAAGCAATTCTGCCTGAGTAGTTAATACTTACACGCAGGGTTTTGCTAATACAAGATATCTAGTTTTCAAATGTTTAATTATCCCCAAGAGTTTCTGTTGTTCCACAGACCAGTGTCAACAGTTCTTTCTTTACGGGAGCATGGAAAACTTTCTTTGTGAAGGAATTCATCAGTTGCCACCTAAGTTCCCCTTGTCTGGAGCAAACCAGTTTTCTAAGGACAAATCACCAGCCTGTCTGGAGCACTTTGTCCCTTTACACCCTCTCCTCTCCTCATTTCTGTCCAATCTCTGTGACACTTGTAAGTCAGACCAGCTAATGTTCCAGTAATAGAATAGACTCTGTACTTGCCCAAAGTCCAAAGGACCAGGGAGTTCTTTCTTTCTTTTTCTTTTTTTTTTTTTGGTACAGGGGCTTAGACTTGGGATCTTGTGCTTGTGAAGCAGGTGGTGGAACCACTGAGCTAAATCCCCTGCCCTACCCAGGGCGTTTTTGATCTTTCACTTGAGGGGTATCTATAATATGACTGTATTTCTCACCAACCAGTACACAATTAATATATTTTCCATCCAGTTGTAAGAGCCCTTTCAATTATAATTTATTTTCAAATCAAAAAATTGGAAAGATCACTTTCCCTCCAGAAATTAGGAAACTGCTCTTGTAGCATATTCTTGGATGCTTTGGGTTTTATCTCTCTTTAAAAAAAAACGGGAGCGGGGGGAGCACATCTCTCTTCATTTCCATGATTACTTCTGAGTCTACTGCATAGATGTAAATGACTTTGGACCAGTGAGCTTTTGATTTTTGTTGGACAGAAATGCCATCAGGAAGAGAGCCTTTTCAGGAAGTGGCAAAATATGTGACTAGAAAATTAGGCTCTTCCCTGGTGTGCTCCAACACTTTGAGCAGACAGTTATCCATACTGCATGTTACCGTTTCACAGGATTGTTAGCAAAGAAAGCCGTGGATGCCGGCCTGAATGTGAAGCCTTACATCAAAACCAGCCTGTCTCCTGGAAGTGGTGTGGTCACCTACTACCTGCGAGAAAGTGGAGTCATGCCATATCTGTCTCAGCTTGGGTGAGGGAGAGTTTTCTTTTACATCTTTGCTTTTGTGTTGAATTCCTTGTGTCATCGTATAACAGCTGTGAGCTTCTCTGATCTCACATCTAACTGTGTAGTCTTTCATAAGATGGTGGGTAGCCTTAAACCCTAACATGCCAATGGAGTAGGACCCTCCTGTACTTGTGCTGGTTTTTCATTATACAAGGTGCAGCTAAAGCCCTCCAAGCCCTGGGCTGTGATGTGATGCTGCACCTTCCAGGAGGAGGAGTGCCCTTTCCTCACTTGCACTGAAGTACGCCATGGCTCAAAGCACTCTGAATGTTTTTAGACAAATTAATCATTGCCAAATACAGTTTTCTCAACTTCCATGTTATTCCTACTTTGGATGACACGCCTCTTAAACTTCAGAAGTACTTGGGATTATACAATAATAGTGTTGAGTGAGACATTAAATAGCATATCTGATTTCAACTTTTAAAACTTCTAGATCATTTGACTCATTGTTATAAGGAAAATTGGTAATAATGTTGTTCTCAGCTATCTTTTCTCTGAATGCTCTTCAGAGGGAAAACTATAGAATAGCACTGACTTGAACTTATTTATGCTGTGCTATTCCTTTGTGACCTGTGGTCTCCAGGAAGTGAGCAGAGAGCTCAGTTTAAGCGGCTCACTTTCTTGTGCTTCACTTTGACATCTAGGTTTGATGTGGTGGGCTATGGCTGTATGACCTGCATTGGCAACAGTGGGCCTTTACCTGAACCCGTAGTAGAAGCCATCACTCAGGTAATTACAGAGGGCCTGTAGGTGTTTGAGCTATTTTGTCTTTTTATGTAATATGTGGCAGAACTGCTGGTAATTTCAAGACAGTCCGTGGAAACAGGGAATGTGATGAACAGTATGGCTTTAGAACTAAAATTGCTAATTGTGTGACCTTGGGCATCTTAATTATATGTGCTTCAGTTTCTGCAACTATAAATTAGAGATAATAATCGTATCTATTTTATACAGTTGTGAGAGTTAAGAGAATGATGAATGTAAAACACTTAGTGTAGTGCCTGACACCCTAGTATGTGCCCAGGACATGCCTGGTTTGACTACAAAGGATTCCAGGATTCAAAGTCAAACAAGTCTCCATGTAAACAAATCTAAGCTATATTGCATTGGCTTGATTTTTGTGGTAAAAATTCGGTACCCCCAGTACTATTGCATCTGTGTATGCCACAGTGGCTCCCAACTTTTAGCCTTTCACACTTGTTCTTAGAAGAGGACCAGGTGAAAGGTGAAAGAACCACATCAAGTGATGTGAAAACTGTTGCCTGTGCTCTGAGGTGAGAAATCTAGACAATCACTTCTCCCTTCGACAAGGTTATTCTTGTATCTTACACAGGGAGACCTAGTAGCTGTTGGAGTGCTGTCTGGGAACAGAAATTTTGAAGGTCGTGTCCACCCCAACACTCGGGCCAACTATTTAGCATCTCCTCCCTTAGTAATAGCCTATGCCATTGCTGGGACCATCAGGATCGACTTTGAAAAAGAGCCATTGGGTAAGATTTTGTTTGTGTGGCAGTGATTTTTTTTTTCAAGTGAATTCAGAAATATTACTGGAAGAAAATTGCTACTTTTGCTAATAAAAAAAGAATTATAGAACTTCCAGAGATAAGACAAAGGAGAATCTTTTCAGTGTTTGACAATGCACAGCTAAGACATTAACTGAGTAAACAATTTACTGAGAGTAAGGGGTAGCAAAAGTAATGAAGTAAATGTCAAAAGCAATAGATATTTGCTCTTCTGTTTTTTTGTGTAATTCCTCCCTTTTCCACAGCCATTATACTGAGTGATAGGCATTATTTTAGTATGTACAGTGTAAGGACACTTTCTGATATTTCAGCTTCTTAGACTTCAGGAAAATGATACTTAATCTCTTTTTTCTGTGGGTTTCTTGCTTGATATACTGCCCTCAATCTATTACAAGCAGATTAAATAATCTGGAAGCAGTGTCCCTTAGATTTAGTTTTAGGAAATCACAAATTTAGAGGTATAATTGATTCTTATTTCAGTGGTGCCTCGGTTCATGAACTCAATTCTTCTGAATTGCAAGCATATACCTACTATATGATGTGCCTTGTGTTCAGACAGGCTTCACTGAGGCATGAGTTAGAGTGCTGTTGACTGAAGGTGAATGAGGCCCTCAGTGTCTCTGGGGAATTAGATTCAGGACTCCCTGAGGATACTACCAAATCCACAAATGTTCAGGTGGCTTGTATGAAATGACATAGTATTTGCATATAACCTACACAGATCATCTCCAAACTACTTATAATATCTAATACGATGTAAATAAATGTATAAATGTTAATTATTTAGGGAATAATGATGAGAAAAATGTCTGTACATGTTCGATGTAGATGCAGGGGTTTTTTCCTGAATATTTTTGATTCTCTGTTGTTTGAACCAACAGATGCAGAACCCACAGATACAGAGACCCAACTGTATGTTAAATGTGATGTCTTTAAACAAAGAGCACATATAACAAGATCATGTATTGATCAGTTGATGAAAGTGTGGCCAGACTTTCATCTGGAGCCTAACATGTTTCCCCTGAGGCAGTGATCTAGTATTCACTAATTCAGTGTTCCTCAGATGTTATAGAAAGAATGTGAGCACTGAGAGGAAAGAGACCTGACTATGTGCAGTAATGAAAGTGGGGTATGGGATGATGTTTTCCTCAATAAATGTGTTTTCCTCAGGGGTAAATGCAAAGGGACAGCAGATATTTCTGAAAGATATCTGGCCAAGTCGGGATGAGATCCAGGCGGTGGAGCAGCACTATGTCATTCCTGGGATGTTTAAGGAAGTCTATGAAAAGATAGAGGTAAGACCCTCACTGCCCTCCCCACCCAAGGACTGTGAGAAAGCCTCTCTCCTTTATCCTGTCTTTAGACCTTGAGGCTCACGAGAATATAAAGAGCAGACAACTAGGAAAGTGGTTCTCAGTCATTTTTATTCCATGTCTCACATTTTTACCAACCCATACTCCCCAAATGTTCCCAGATTTGGACAAGTATGTGACAGCCTCAAGAAGAAAGGCTCTAGGATCAGCTCTCCATAGTTCCACTTCTTTTTCACATACCCTATGGTGTATGTCAGCTGTGATGAGAACCCTGATGGTCACTGTAGTTTGTCACTGAGGTGGAATCAATTGCTTGCATGTACCACATGATGCATTATTCGGGTACTTTAAAAAAATTAAAACCACTAAATAGGAAGTAGAGACTGCTGCAATAAAAACTTTCTGTGTATTTTATGAATAGTAGAAAATTTGTGGAGCTCAGTGTCACTCTCAGATGTTACTCCTTTCCCTGATGTCTGTTGTACAAGAGCTTCTTATGGGGCTGCTGGTCTGAAGTGGAGGCAGGGGTGAAGGGAACATGGTTATCAGGTACTGCACTCTCCATCAGGAATGCTGTCAGGGGTGTTACTGCCATGAGGTTTTAAGTGCAGTTCTCTGAAAGCCAAAGTAATGGCTCTGTGAAGAGAATTCAAACCATCACAGCAGCCCTTTGCTGTCCAGTCCACTGGGAGTCCACTTCCCAAAATACTCAGAAAGTAAATAACTTCCTCCTTGCTCTAGTCTGGGTTACTGTTTCATAAGTTGTTTTAAGTATATGTTTTCAGTAGCAGTTGCTATATAACATATTTAACCCAGAACTCAGTAAGCTGAAGTAACACTTAAAATGTCAGTTTCTTCAGGTCAAGAACTGAGATGTGACATCTCTGGTGCCCCAACCTTCACAAGGCTCTGGGCCACTTGTCATGAGGCTCTGGAGAAGGATGCACAAGGGCTCCTGTGTCTGCCCCAGTTCTTCTCTCTTGGCTCCAGGCCTCCTTCAGCACCTTCTGCCTGGATCTCTTCACAGCTCACTACCATCAGGCCCAGTGAATAAGAGGGCCAGAACCACAAAAAGCCTAGTGTTTTTATAGGCTTTGGAATGAAGTCATAGTGAAGCCCACACAGACAGCAGGGAGATCACCTAAGGGTGTGAATCCCAGGAGGCAGGATCATTCCTACCATTTTACTAGCCATCCAGAGTTTATGTATTTTGAAGTTTGTGACATTAAATTAGGATAAAAATGCTAGATGTGGTGGCATAGGAAGGCTGAGGCAGGAGAACTACCACAAGTTTTAAGCCAGCCTAGGTAGGCTACATAGTGAGTTCAAGACCAGACTGGGATACACAGGGAGACACTGTCTAAAAAAAAAAAAAAAAAGAATAAAACCTCTTCTGTGTGGCTATAAAGAATAAAACTGGCTTTTATTATACCTCATAGCTTGAATATTTTCTGTTTCTATTGCATATTTAAATTTTCCCTGGAATGGAATGTGATTAAATCTGTTTTTCTGTTTTTAAGACTGTGAATGAAAGCTGGAATGCCTTAGCAGCCCCATCAGATAAGCTGTATCTGTGGAATCCCAAATCTACATACATTAAATCACCACCATTCTTTGAAAACCTGGTATGACTTTTTATTTTTTAAAGTAGGTTCTTTATTTATATAATAGACTTTATTATCTCATATCCTTGATTTGACTGCTGCTTTGAATTAAATCTGTGCACACTTGAGCAGACTGTGCTGGGAGGTTGTTAGTTGGGGTATTTGGCTGTAGTGATGGTCCCTCAGTCCAGCGGTTCTGTGTGGCTATGCAGAGGAACGCTGAAGAGCAGCTATCACCTGGATGGCCCTCAGCAAAGTTGGAAATACAGTTCCAGGAGAATAACCCCCAGGACCTGCCATACTTCAGTCTACACCTCTGGAAGTCTGTCTTCTCTCATGAGTCACTGTGGCGGGAGAATTCCAGTTATTGTCTTGGGTATCTGAAGGAGAGTAGCAAGGATAATTGTGTGTGCTGCACTCCTGTATAGTACGAATACTTAACCTGCTCTTCAGGATTGAGATAGAAATGTTTGGAGTAAATTCAGATTACCTTTTTAAAGAAACATCCTTGATAAAATTAGGAAACTAGAATTTTCTGTGTGTTGATGTAGAGCAAGCCTTTGCTTTTGGTCTGTGGACCACCACTGTAGAGACTTACTGGCTCACTTGTTGGAGAAAACCTGGGAAACACTGACTGCTTATACTCTTTGCTAGACTTTGGATCTCCAGCCCCCCAAATCTATAGTGGATGCCTACGTGTTATTAAATTTGGGAGATTCAGTAACAACTGATCACATCTCTCCAGCTGGAAATATTGCAAGAAACAGCCCTGCTGCTCGCTATTTAACTAACAGAGGGTAAGTGGGAGTGAGGCGGAAAAGACTACAGGCAGAAGTGGAGTACATAGAGTGAATGAGGCTTTTCACGTGGTCTGTTTGAGTCAAACTAGTTTTTCACTGAACCTTTGAAAACCAAGTGCTTTGTCTGTAGCTTAGTAACTTCCAGAAAAAAATCCATCAGCACATGAATCTCAACACAGCATGGGGAAGGGGGGTTTGACCTTCTTTTTGAGCAAGTATATGCTTTAGGCTCAACTTCATTGCTGCCTCCAGCTTGTGGAGCTTGTTAGGCTTGAAGCCAGGCAGTGGTACAACCTGAAATGTATTATCTGTCCTGGAGACAGACATAGTATTCACAGAAAACTGCTTCAAGAATTTTTCAGTTCACTCATCTGTTCATCAGTCCCTTAGACATCCACTGATATTCCATAGGTGTTATGTCAGTATTACCTGTTGTTTCCTAATGTGCTGCTATTATTTGAGGTCGGTGGTTCTAAAATCTGATTTCCTTCAAGAATCATTTAGGGAGATAACAATTTCTGACTCCTTTCTCCTCCTGCATCACCGCTGTAGAGATGGGGCCCAGAGCAAATTTGATAAACAAATTTGAGAAATCTACATACTTTTTGGTTTCTATTTTGGTTTGTTTGTATTTCTGGATACTGAGGATTGAAATAGGGCCTTCACTATGAGCTACATCCCCAGCCCTTTTTAAAAAATCTTAAATTTTTTTTTCAGCTTTAATTGAGTTTATTGGTACATTTTAGGGATACAGTACAGTTACATTCATTGTTGGGATCTTGTACCTCTACATGACAAGTCTTGATTCTCATTTTTTCCCCTTACCTCTGCCCTCCCTTAAGACAGGGTCTCACTGTGTTACTGCCCAGACTGGGCTTGAATTTGCAGTTCTCCCATCTCAGCCCCCCAGAATGTAGGATTATTGGCATGTGCTACCACTCAGCTTACATACTTTTTTTTTCTAATGGTGATTCCTGGCCTCTTGACACATGAATTCTTTAGGTAATTAAATAAAAACAAATATAATTCCTTCCAAAAAATGCATATGTTTGTACTTTGAATGGAATTTCAAAAATTCGTACTTATATTTGCCCACTCCTAAAGCCCATACTCAATCCTCAAATTAAATCTAATCATTAAATAATATTAACACACCATCCCCTAATTTTTTAAGCAATGGGCCAGTGAACTATTCTCCATGTTAACTGTAAGAATATATCATACTTTCCTTTCATTGGTTCCCACTGACAAGATCATTTTTCTGATTTAAGACCAGAAATAGCTGTTCTGCCTCTTTGACATTGCTTTGATTTTTACCTTAGGAAAGTTGTGAATTATTTTGCCAATGTGTTTCATCCCTTTCCATTGAGTTCTTGATGACTCAGGGACAAATTCAGTCCTATTTCTGGTTACGTTATGGAACATGTTTTCTTGTCCCCTCTTGGCTCCATCTCACTGGCCTACCTTGATCATTCTCTTGTTTCTGTTTTCTTATTTTTAATTTGTTTAGCCTTTTACCATCTATGAAGATTGGTAGGCTCCTGTTCTAAGTAAATTAAAAAATACTCCTTTCAGAATTTCTCCTGATTTGAAAATCTGCCATTTGATCCAAGGAGAATATTGATTTTTGCCCTTCACCACCTACTTCATACTCTACCCTCACTTGAAGCTCTGAGCACAGCTTTTCTGCCATAGAGAACAGTGCTCAGCAGATTTAGAGAAGTAGCTAGGTTTTGGGCATTCTTTTTTTCTTGGTATAAGAGTAGTTATTATTTTTTAATTTTTATTTATTTATTTTTGCCTCACTAACCTGGCTCCTTTCCTGTTTGCCTTATTAGCCTAACTCCACGAGAATTCAACTCCTATGGCTCCCGCAGGGGTAATGATGCTATCATGGCACGGGGAACATTTGCCAACATTCGCTTGTTAAACAAATTTTTGAATAAGCAAGCACCACAGACTATACATCTCCCTTCTGGAGAAATTGTGAGTATTGTCGCTTTTGCTTCCTTTAGAAACCAATATTTGACAGGTTCTGGAAGACTGGGTATTGACATTTTTTTGCCTTTTTTTTTTTCTTTTGCCTTTTTTGTCACTGCTCCATCCTACCCTTGGCTTCCTAGTAATTCCTCTTGCCAGATACCCATGAGTAGAGTTTATCACTGATGGAGATTTAAAACCTCTTGCTTAGAGATTCTATGCCATGGTTCAACTAAGTCTTTTTTCTTGGAAGTTGAGTCTAAAAATCTTTTGAAATTTCATCAGAAAACTTGAAGGGGGAAATTGTGGGTTAAATTAGAGGATACTTACCAAGAAATGCTACCCTATGGTCTAATTAATTAAATGCTAATTAACAGTCAGTTTAGTGCACTGTATCTACTAGGAAAAGAAGGAATGTGGAGGCCTTTATAGACTTGCTCGAATCCTAAAAGAAGCCATCTGGAATTGGTACACTGCTCCTGGGATTGTTTGTTTGTGGATATGGGGTATTAGAAAGGCAGAGATGCCTGTGCTTTATTAAAGCCATAGAAGTCTGGGTGTAAATCCCAGCTCTACCTCATAGTAACTGTAGCCAGTTATTTCCTTCTCTAAAGTTCATTTTCTTATCTGTGAAATTGAAATAATATTTACTTTATAAAGCTGAGGCTTAAAAGGAAATAGAATGAATGTGGTGTCCACACGTGTGTGGATCTTTGGTGTCTCCTCCCTCCCCAGGGATGCTGTCTTAAAATGGTTTGATCTACTTAAGAAATAATCCTTACTTAAAATAGTAGCTTATGTTTCCACCCACCTTGCTGCATTCTACCTCCTATTGTAAGCCCTTTGAATGTACTGACTTACTTAATCCTCATAACAACCCTTTGAGGTAATTACCTGTGTTAAAATTGACAATGTGAGGCATGGAAAAGTCATAATTCCCTAAGTTTACACAGTGGTAAAGCTCAAGTAAAGTCCCAAGGAATCTGACCCTGAAGGCAGTGCCCTTTGCCACCACATACACTGCCTCACTGAGAACTGACTGTGTTTGCATAAAGCAAACTCTGCTTATAGATAACTGGGTCCATGCCAGGACTTCACCCAGCAGGTGCTTATTCAGTGAATAGCAGGGATAAGAAACTATTTGATGAAGAGGATGCATATCGAATGATGGAATGCCCTAGACACCAACAGGGAAAGACTTACAGTTACAGACATTGACAGGCCCCCAACAAACTGTGCCGAAGTAGCCCTCACTATAAGCCTTACTTCATAAGAAACCTATAGTCAGTTTTAGTGCCCCATTTTAAATCACGAGACAGAATCAGAGACGGGCAGACATTTGAACCAAGACTTGAATTTGAAAGACAGATCTAAACAGAGAATAGGGGGAAACGGAATGAAAGATAACAGAGACATTGCAGAAAGTAGAAGAAAACTTTTAAAGAAAAGAATAATCTCCCCAGAGCTATAAGTGAATTCGAAAAGAAAAACATTTTAAATTTTTTTAAAATGTGCACCTCCCTTCCCAAATAATTCAAAAGAACCAGTGATTAGTTTAGAAAGTCTACTGGAGTATAGAACAGAAAGACAAGGAAAAATGTGAGAAATAGTATAACAAAATTAAAGAATGAACTGAGGAGACCAACATTTGACAAGACAGAGGTACTAAAAGAAAGTAGACAAAACAGGAGGAGCTGGGCTTGGTGGTGCACACCTGTAATCCCAGCACTGGGAGGCTGAGGCTGGAGGATCCGCACAAGTTCAAGGCCAGCCTGGGCTGCATAGTGAGCTCAAGGCCAGCGTGGACCACATAGCGAGACCCTGTCTTACCCCGCCCCCCAAAAAAGGGAAATTATTGAAGGAATAACACAAGGTATATTTTTCCAAGACTATACTATCTGAGAATCCAGATTGAAAAGACCCACCAAATACCCAGCCAGATGATTTACAAAGACTTGCTTGAGTCAGGTGCAAGAATTTGAAGAGAACACATTTCATTATGTTCCATTCCTACGGGAGTTTTAAAAATGGATCACTAGGCATTGAAGAGTTAATGACACATTCACATATTCAAAAACTTTAAAAATACTCCTTGCTCCTTCTCTCTGGAAGTATTTGGTGAGTGCATTTCACCAAAATGAAGAAGTAAAGAAAAATATGTAGGATCCAAAGAATAAAAGGGAAAGGAATACCCAGAATGTTGAGAAGGAAGATTTTTCTGTCACAGGAATGCACCACGTATCATTGAGAGCAGTCGATCCAAGAGTGGTACTGCACTAAGAGTCTTAACCTGTGTGTCATCTGACATGTTTGAATACCTTTAAAGATTTGTTCTTTCAGCAGAGCATTTAGGAATTAATAGGTAGGAACACTGATAAATGTGAGCACACTAAAAAAGAAAGTTCCAGTAGAAAAATTATAAAAATGGCCAAAAAGAAGAAATCATAGTATAATACATGGCATATGTATATCTAGAGCTTACATAATTGATGTCAAAATGTGTGGCATAACTTTGTGGGAGGTTAGAGAGAGGGAACATGGCAGGATGGGAGCAGCAGAGAGTGGAGGTAATATTGAAGAGGCTGAAATCTTGGGCTGGGGATTTAGCTCAGTGGTTCTGCTGTCTGCCTCACAAGCACAAGGACCCGAGTTTGATCCCCAGTACCCCCCCCCAAAACAAGACAGACTGAATTCTTCATCAGGGTAGTGAAGGGACAGATTATTTCACAAATGGAAAAGTAAGAACTGGCTTTTTAAACATTACGCCTAGAGACTAGAAGCACAGTCACAGAAGAAATACCATACTTACCTGTGTATCTGTGTTTTCTATTGGAAGAGAGAATGCAGGGAGCTGTAACCTTATAATCTGTTGAGCACTGTCAGTGTGGCTGCTGTAGTAGAAACATCAGAACAACCAGTGTCTGGACCTCCTCAATCTCTGTGACCTTGGGCAACATGACCTGCAGTGACCTGAATTCTCAGCTGTGTAGTAGTTGTGAAAACACTTTTTGAAACACATATTTCTATATTCTTAATGCACAAAGTTAGTAATCCGAAAATAGTAGGTAGGCCATTTGATTGGACAGAGGAGTGTGTTTGCTATTTTTGTAAGTTTCTGTACTCGTGAGTTCTGTCCAGCCAAAAGCACAGTGTTAGTGCAATGTTTGCACAATGCTAGTGCAATTAACCACAGTTCTGTCAGTCATCAAACTATTACTTTGTGGAAAGCCTACCTCATAATTTGATCAAATGCTTATCTTTTATCTTTCTGACTTACATAGCTAGGAAAAATAATTGTTTCAGATATCTTGATGAAATCTCAACTCAGCATAACATTTAGATTCTTGTGAGAAACGTCTTTGTGTAGTGTGTTTCTTATATATTAAAATATTAGCTGCGTATTTCCTACTTTTACTAATTGTTGCTCCATCCATGTTTCTACGGTCTTTATCTTGACCTGCATGTAGAAGGAAAATAAAAATTTTCATTTTATATAATTTCAGAACATGTATTTTGCTACCCTTCATAGCTGACCATTGTTGAGACTCTGGTATTGAGTCAAAACTCAGGCTTTGGTGGGATTATCTGGTTTTTAAGTTTTAAAACAACTTAGTTAATGGAAGAAAAAAGATCTTAATGCCCCAGGATCTGAATACTTTTATAAAACTGAACAACAGTTGGACATTTCAGTCAAAAGAATATAAAACATGATTTGATAGAAATAGATTGAGTTAAGTGGGGCTTGTAGACCACCTGGCCAATCAGTTGAGTTTTCTGTTGGCTTCACATTGACTTGGCTGCCTGCTGACCTTCTGATCCTCAGCTCTCACCAGGACATGCTGGGCCAGTATCCATGTACTTTGCCTTTTATGCATCGGTAAAACCTTCCTTTTCTCTCTCAGCTTGATGTGTTTGATGCTGCTGAGCGATACCAGCAAGCAGGCCTTCCTCTGATTGTTCTGGCTGGCAAAGAGTATGGCTCAGGCAGCTCCCGAGACTGGGCAGCCAAAGGCCCTTTCCTGCTGGTGAGTATGAAGTGGCTTCCCAACAGGCAGCTGGAAGGGAAGCCAGGAGGAGCCCAGGAATGAATTCTGTGGCTTTACTTTCAAAATGCTGTGAAAGAGCAAGCTCTGAAAAGCATTTGGTATTTATTCCTATTTCTGGGTGGCTCTACATTTATTTCACTTAAGCATAATAATCTAAATTTGAACTAGTCCTTTAGATCAGACTTTTATACCATGGCAATTATTGGACTTTTTGAGTGTCTAAATCAATTTGGAAGGAAGGTTTATGAAGTCTGACATGATATTCAAAATGTTTATATTAATGTCTTTTATAGAAGTTTCATGATTTTCATATAGTTTTCAGAGTTTGGGGCCTCAATATTTATTAGTGCCATTATCCCAGATAAATGTAAGGAGTAAATCAAACAGAACTACTGTATCATCTGCCAGATTCTCAGAAGGAAATAGTACAGGCCTTTGTGGGAGTTACCTTGGCAAGAGTAGACTCCAGGTTTCTTGGAAAAAATGAAGAGTGTGCACTTTTTACAGTTGCTTTTCATTGCTAGGGGAAAATCTACTGATAGTATCTCAGTGAGAAAGAGAAGCTCTCTGAATATAGCCAGGCAGCTTTTTAGAGCCTTCGGCTGTTTCAGAGCTTTGCCTTCATGAAGTGTCCAATAGGAGGGATGGTGCCAGCAGCAGAGAACTTTTACCTCTTGAGCATTGGCTTGCCCTGAGAGCAAGGAAGAGCTGTGCTGCTGGCTTCAGTCCCCAAAGGAAGGTAAAGAGACTTAGCTGATACCAATTTAAATCATTTACAGCGCAAACAAATGAATTCCCTTGGGAAACACTTAGGTCCACATTCACAAATATAGTAAAAAATGTGACTCTCTGGCAGGCAGCCCTCAAATGTCATTTGAACACTACCCCAAATATATTTTTAATTACTCTGCCTTAAGTTACTTTCCCGTTGCTGGGACAAAATACTTGACACCACAAGTTAAAGAAGGAAAGGTTTATTTTGGCTGTTGCCAGGACATGGCCCCAAAGCAGAGGGGCATGGCAGAGGCGGCTTGCTCATGGCATAGCAGTGGGAAGCAGAGAAGGAAGACTGGAGGAAGAAGGATGTATAGTGTTCCAGGCCACGCTCACAGTGACCCACCTCTTCCCACGAGTTGTTATGATTTCCAACATCACACCCAGCTATAAACCCATCAGTGGACTAACCAGGATCCACACGCATGATCCACTCACCTCTCAAAAGCCCTAACTATAAGCACATGAGGCTCTGGGGAGGCATCCAGGTAAAAGCCATAACACACTTATTTTGCTCTAAGGGGAAAAAGTAAGTTGGTAATAGGTCAAAGGCCTTCCTTTTCTGGACACTTCTAGAAAGATCTGGAAAAATTACACAAAAAGATTTTAGGCAGCGGGTTAAGGGCTGACAATAGAAATGAGACCTCAACAGTAAGCAGTCAGGCTGGGAGCTCTGAAATCTGACAGAGGACAAGAAAAGAACTGGCTCTAAGGTGCGCCCTAAAGTCTAGATTTCCCTGCAGAGGGCCTGAGAGCTGGCTGCCCAGAAAGCTGTGCAGCTGTATCCTTGGCCACGCAAGCTGAGCAGTGCTGCCCGGTGCTCACTGGAAGACGACAGTTATGATATGAGCACCTGCAGCACAGAGCTGGGGATGGGATGCTTTGTGTTCAGAGAACTTTCCACTTCCCCCTAAATAAACACACACACACATATGTAAATCTCTCCAAAATACCTGCTATCCCTGAGAATCTACCCTTTCTCTGTAACAGTGGTTCTCACATTTGGACATACCTCTGACTTCTTTTTTAATAGTTTCTTAGCTCTTATCCCCAGAGATTCCATTTTAATTACCAAGGAGAAAGGTCTGAACACTGGGATTTTAATAAGCTGCCCTTGGTGATTCTAATGTGCACCTAAATTTGAGAACCCCTGCTCAATAACAGTGATTCTGTGGCCCCTCCTGCCCTATGCTCCCTGCAGGTGATTGGGATGAAGTAGATCGGGGGTGGTATCCAAGTGTCATGTTTTTAATCAGCTCCCATGAGTGAGTCTGGGTCAGGTGTCTCAAAAGTGTGTCCTAGTTATTAAGAGACCTTTTAGAGTATTTAATATTATTGCAGTTAATATTAACTATTAATTATAAATTAATGGAGAATTCTAATTAGGTATCCTGCTTTATTGATTATTGCTCTATATTGTCAGATTATTCATTACCTATAAAATAGGAAGCTTAATGTAAAGACTATTCAGCACATTTTAACCCTTGAAATAGGAACTTTCACAGCAGTCTGCAGTAATCACTTACTTTATAGTAGTATGCTGGGATAATTACTTTTTTTTAATTGATACACTGAAGTCAAACCCAATGAGTGGTGAGCTACATCCCCAATACTTTCTTATTTCATTTTGAGACAGGATCTAAATTTCCTAGGCTGGCCTTAGAGTAGATCACCTTGCTTTAGCCTCCCATGTAGCTGGCACTACAGGCAAACATCATCTACCATACCTAACCTAAAAATTGCGATTAAAACTTGTGTGTCTGTTTATACACCTGCAGTAATAGCAAAATTCAAAAGAATTTTCTTTATATATCTGGTATAGATTCCAGATGCATGGGAGTTTGCTAAATGGTCTTGTATCTCAAAGGGGCTAAAGGCATGGTCAGACCACATGGTTCAGATACCACATCCTACCACTGATTACTGGATAAAGGGGAATAGGAATAGCATCTGCTGTGCCCCAGTGTTGGGGTAGAGGAGAGAATTCATTTCAGTGCTTGAATAGTACTGGTACATTTTAGTGCTCGCTACTTTATTTCTAACTGCAGGATAACATCTTCAGGTAAAAGGTTATCACATATTTAGAGTGAATTTAATTGAGAGAACAGTCTTGACTTTAGAATCCTTTTGTAAAGTTTTCATGTACCTGAAAGGAAAACTGGCACTGTGTCCAAACTACTCTTTATTCATCAGGGAATCAAAGCTGTTCTGGCCGAGAGCTACGAGCGTATTCACCGCAGTAACCTGGTTGGAATGGGGGTAATCCCCCTCGAGTATATCCCTGGTGAAAATGCAGACTCTCTGGGACTCACAGGGCAGGAACGGTACACTGTCATCATTCCAGAGAACCTCAGACCACAAATGAAAATCCAGGTCAAGGTAAGCCTACCTGTCCATGGCAGGACCTGCTGCAAAGGGCCCTTTTCTTGTAATCACTCTAATTAAAAGGAAATTAATGGAATTTGAGAGGAAAAATTAAAAGTCAGTAGGACAGCATTAGACTTGGAGTCCTACTAGCACCTTTTACACTTGTACAACATAGTTTGGATGATACCTTTTGATTTATTATTTCTGTTTGCTCAGAGAGTGATCATCAGTTCTAATTTTACCTCCCTTCCCCAACTAGCCTCTGTCTCCTGTTCCTCCCACTCCCACTCAGCCTGGAGAATAGTAATGAATAGCGATTTTCATGTGACCTAAAAAACTCTTTTTCTTACTATGAAAATGTGACCAACATACACATTAGCCCCCTCCCTAAGCCTCGTCCCAGATCCTAGGCTTTAATTAGCTCACATGTGAAAATGACAGATCCTTAGGTAAGGATAGGATGAACTGTCCCGCACCAAAATCCCAGGAGTGATTTAGCATGAGGTACAGGCAGCTGTGAGCCCTGTGTTCTAGGTGGGCGGCTTGGTCAGCTGCCTAATGTGCACCCTCAGTGACATTTCTACCCCCAAACAATTCCGTCCACAGGGAGAAGGTTTAGAAAGTAACATCTCCTTGTAACTAATGGCCGCTGCCCTCAGAAGCTGTTTCTAGTTCTCTGGTCCTTCACCTCCATCACTACACTGCTTCTCAATCTTGGGCAAATAAATCCCCCAAGGGTCTTATCAAAAAGTAGATTCTGATTAAGAGGCCACCTGTCCCGGTGTGCTGCTCATCTGCTAGTGTGGGAACCAGAGGGCCAGTCAGGCCAAATCTCCCTGAGACACTGGTATCTTACCCTCTCCTTCAGCATTCTTTGCTTCTTTGTCGTTGCAGCTGGATACTGGGAAGACCTTCCAGGCTGTCATGAGGTTTGACACTGATGTGGAACTCACTTATTTCCACAATGGGGGCATCCTCAACTACATGATCCGTAAGATGGCCAAGTAGGCCCTCATTTCCTAGAGAGCTGCATTTGGTGCTTCACCTACGGGGCACCAGGCACTCAGCCAGCAGAGACCCTGATGAAGAAGCCGCCCTTCTTCCACACAGGGTGTTCCCTTGAACACAACACCTGAGCACTGCGGTTTGGGTGCCCTTCCTGGAGGCCCAAAGCCAGAAGTTTCTACATTCTCTATTTTTGTTAATTGTTTATCTTTCTCTAGAATTTGGAAGCTAGAAATGTGGGAAAATCAGTAGTGCCAGAAAAAGAGCTGGTTTGTTTTTGAAGTTACCGATCACAGGACATTGATTTTTTAGTCTTATTAATTAAACTTCAGCTGAACACTAGTAAGTTTTTTCAAAAGGGTGTCCTACCCTTTTCATTGTTTTTCTGTTATCTTCTGCTCACTGAAACCCTTTCTTTGAGGGCCTGTTCCTTTGTATATTTTATCAGTGATAACTGACATAAGTAGGTAGGAACTTTTTCACACTTCAGATCATAATACTGATACTGATTATGATTTCCCCCTTCAGAATGAATAATCAAACACCTGGTGGACAGGTCAGACATTGAAATTTTTTTTATTATATACCTTTTAGAAAAACAACATTAAAAGAAAAGTGTTTTTCTTTCACTGTCTTCAATAATTTTTTTCCAATAAATATTTCATCAAGGGAAAATCAAATATTTCATGAAGAGGAAACTTTTTGGAGGTGGTTTGGGAAAGAAACAGAACACTTCTGATTTGAATAAGATTAAATGTATATTCATAGAAAATCTGTTGTCTTTGGAATTGAGTTGTGCTGTGTGATAGTTTTGTATACTTACAGCATATGATCCTGAAGGTGGATGACCTTTGCATCTGTTTCTACAGCCATATCTGAACTGTGTAGGTACATTGGAAGTGTTGAGGAACCAATTACCTGCCCTGTTTGGGAGCAGCAGATAGAGAAATAGTAACCTGATAGTAGTAGCAAGGAAGTAAATATGGTACACAGATCCTAGCCTTTTCATTTTCTGAAGTTTATTTGCTCATTTCCATCATTAAAATCCTTTAGGGCATGTCTTAGTCTGCTCTGGCTGCTATAACAAAATACCACAGGCTGAATGGTTTAATCAACAAAAATTTATAATCATGTAGTTCTGGAGCCTGGAAGTCCAAGTCAGGTTTCTAGCTGTTCAGGTTTCTTGTGAGCACTTTTTTCTAGCTTGCACATGTCCTTTTCTTCTTATATGCAACAGAAGAGGGAGAAGGAGAACTAGCTCTCTTGTGACTTTTCCTATAAGGATATTAATTATGTAGGATAAAGGTCTCATCTTTATGATCTTATTTAACTTTAATTTTTTCTCCGTGCTATTTTAGTGGTTAGGGCTTCAACACAGGACTTTTTAGAGAATATAAACGGTCCATAACTTGGCACCTTATAAGGTTAATCTCCTTGCAACGATTATTTTAAACATTCACATTTTAATATAAGGCTAGCAATACTGAGAGATAAAGGTATTAGTTCCACTGTGCACATTAGAAAGTTTAAATAATGTCATAAATCTAATAAATGAAAAGTACCGGAATTTCAAAGCTGATTTTCTTAATCCAAAGCTAGGAATTTTTCTAAATTTCTAAAGTTGACACCTGGAATGAGGCTTACCAATTTGTAGATCATATCTTAACCCCTTTAAATTTCTCCATGTCTTTTTCTGCAATCAGTCTGCTACTCTCCTCTTGAACTCATTCTGTGAGCTCACCTCCTATAACCTGGGCGCTCCAGCTGTGTGAGGACCAGAGAGCTAAGGATGTCAGCCTAGCACTGTATGCATGATCTGTCAGCCCTGGCACCAGCCAGCCAGTGCTTCTGTTATGGATCTAAATGGAATTTGGGGATGGGAGTTGTTTTTGTTTCTTTTTGCTTTTTAATTGTTTTTGACGAACATTATATTTACTGTGTACAACATGATGTTTTGAAATGATTGTAGAATGGCTGAATTGAGCTAAATAACATATATTACCTCACATATTTTTTGTGGTGAGAATATGTTTAATAGTGATTTTTAAGAATATATTGTTATTAACTATAATCACCACATTGTACAATAGATAAATTATTCTTTCTAAATGAAATTTTTTATCCTTTTTCTAATACTCCCTCAGCCCTTGGTCATTACTTGGTAATTGTTCTACTCTCTGCTTCTGTAAGTTTGACTTTTTAGATTCCACTTATAAGATCATGCAGCATTTGTCTTTGTGTACCTGACTTATTGTAATACCCTTGAGGTTCATCTGTATTGTCATGAAAGACAGGATTTTGTTCTTTATAAGGTTGAGTAGTATCTGTGTATCAGTACCACATTTGCTTTGTACTTGTGCTGATTCCTTATCTCAGCTGCTGTAAATGATGCAGCGGTGAATGTGGAAGTGCAGGTATCTCTTAGCACACTGGTTTCATGCCTTTTAGATATACTCATGTGCCCAGAAGCAGAATTGTTGGATCACACAGAGTCATTTAGCTTTTTAAGGACTCAATAGTGTTTCCCAGAGTAGCTATACTAATTAACACTCTCACCCACAGTGTGTAAGCATTCCCTGTTTTCCACATCTTCACCAGCACTTATCTTTCAACATTTTAATACTGGCCACATTTTAATATTTGGCCACTGGCCAAGTGTTAATGTGGTTTTAATTTACAGTTCCATGATAGGTTGAGCATTTTTTTTATGTACATGTTGGCCATTTGATTAACCAAATGATTAAGGTTATATTGGATCTGCTTTAGAAAGTATGGACATTTTAATGTTAATTCTTCTGTATCTACATGAGCAGTTTTTTTGTATACTCTTCAGTTTCATCGGTGGCTTATAGTTTTCAGAGTATAGATCTTCAATTTCCATGCTTAAATTGATTCCTAGGCATTATTTGTACCATTATAAATGAGATTGTTTTCTTGATTTCTTTTTCAGATAGTCTCATTTTTAATATATGGAAATGTCACTGATTTTTGTGTGTTGATTTTTGTATTCTAGATGTTTGCTGACTGTATTCAGTTATATTTTTGGGGGGGGTGGGTTTCTGAGTATTCCATATATAAAATCATTTTAATCATGTTACAGAATCATATAGACAAGAAAAATTTTGCTTTGCCTATCTAATTTAATCTTTTATTTCTCTCACCTAATTGCTTTAGCTAGGACATCTAGTGCTATCTTGACAGGCAGAATAATGAAATTAGGTCAGTATTTCTCATGTTGTACTAAAATCAAAATGGGTCAAAGACCTAATTATAAAACAAGAAATGCTGAAACTACTTGGAAATAACATAGGTGAAACACTTGAATCCATAGTTAGAGGCAAGGACTTCCTGACTAGAACTCCAGTAGCACAAAGACTAAAAGGGAAAATCAACAAGTGATATGATATTTTAAAAGCTTCTGCACAGAAAAGGAAATGCTCAATAGACAACCTAATAATAGATTAAAAAATTTACCAACTAATTCCCCAATAGAGAATTAATATCTAAAATCTATAAAGAACTTAAAAATTAGACCCTCCAACATAACTGCCCAATTTAAAAATGGACCGAAGAAATGAATAGATACTTCTCAAAAGAAATGCGGGGACCGGGGATTTGGCTTAGCTCAGTGGTGCCACTGCCTGCCTCACAAGCACAAGGTCCCTAATTCAATAGCTGGTACAAAAAAAAAGTACAAATACATAGAACGTACATTAAAAAATTCTGGGCATCTTTAGCCATTAGGGAAATGCAAATCAAAATAAATCTGAGGTTCTATCACTAATCAGAAAGGCTAGCACCAAGAACATAAAAAACAAATGCTGGTGAGGGTATGAGGAAAAAGGAACTCTTCTACATTATTGGTCAGAATGTAGACTAGTGCTATGTTGAACAGAAGCACAGTAATACCTTGCAAGCAATTTTGCCCCCAATCAGAAGCACTCAGAAGATTTTGCTTCCTTTCATAAACTTCATCAGATGACAGATGAAACCACAGCCATCTTCCCCACAGAAACAAATACAGCTGTCATCCCCAAAATCATAAGACAGTCTAAATTTGTAAACCAAGGTAACACTGCAGTAAGACTTGGCATCCTTGTCTTATACCTATTCTTTGAAAGAAGAGCTTTTCACCATTGAGTATGATGTTGGCTATGGGTTTGTCATATGTGACCTGTGATACATTGAAGTACATTCTTCCTGTACCTAATTTCAAAATTTTTGCCATGGAAGATATTGAATTTTGTCAAATTGCTTTATCTGTATTAAAATGATCTTCCAAGCTTTTTTTTGTCCCTTATTCTCAACTTTTTTTTCTTGTTCTATTAATTTGTTGTTATCAACTTTATACACTTGACTATATTAAATGATCCCTACATTCCAGGAAAAGTCCTACTTCATCAAGGATGATCCTTTTAATACACTGTTGAGTTCAGTTTGCTAGTGTTTTGTTAATTATTTTTGTATCTCTTCATCATGGTTATTGGTCTGTAACTTTCTTGTATCCTTGCCTGGCTTTGATACCAAAATGATGCTGGCCTCACAGGTTTGTATTTCCTCTTCAATTTTTTGGAACAGTTGAGAAGCATTGGTATTCTTATTAGGATTTTCCAAAGCCATTACTACCTGATCCTGCCTAGGGAAACAGAAGCATTCCTTGGCATCCACAGTGAGATAATTGGCAAATTATTTAGTGTAGCAAGTTAAATACATGTATCTTTGATTGTGAGGTGGACTTCGTGTGTGTGTGTGTGTAGTTTTATATGGCAAAGAATAATATCTAGGAGAATACATTAGTCTGACTGTTTTAGTTATGGTTCTACAAGCGCAAGCCAAATCAGGCTAAGCAAAGCAAAACATAAACTACTTCATGTAACTTAACAGTGGTAGCCATGTCTCAAGCTTGACTGGTTCTAATATGTCAAAACTTAGGCATCCTGCTTACCTTTCCCCCTCTCGGCTTACCTTTAGTTGGTCATGTGTACTATTCTCATTTTCTAGGCCACTCTATGTGCCAGTGAAATGTCCACCAGCAGCTGTGGAGTGACAGTTAATAATTTGTCATCTCAGAAATTTCTCTCCCAGGCTTCCTCGGTAAAGATAGTGGGAGTTTCTAGTCAGCTATAGAACCTTATTTTGGCAGTTTATTTTTCAGGGATATGTCAGGAGAGAGTGGAATAGCCCACAGGGTTATAAGAGCAATGTTGAATCACTTCCAAGAAACCAGGGTTCCATTGGCTGCCTTGGAAAATTGTTAAATGTCATTGTGTTGAAGGCTGTGTGTACTCCACGACAGCTTCACTGCTCCGCCATCCAAGCAGCTCACAAAGATCAGAAACTCTGTAACAGTAAAGGATAGAGATATAAAGTTTAAAGAAATGAAGACATTTTATTGGATAATTTATTAGAAATGAGGAAAAAGGAGATAGATTGCTACCCTGATAAGTCAGGGTAAGGGGCTCTGCCAAATGGAGGATCTGTGGAACCTTTATTCTTGGTTACTTGTATTGGGTGGCAGAAAGACCTTCCACCTGGAGCTTGTCACAACCTGATTGGATTTCCCAGGCCTCAAGACTCTCAACTCAGGTACCATCGACTATGTGCAAATTCCTAAGTAGGTTTTATTTTCTTTTGTCAGGTCCTGTCTCTGAAATTTATAGGCTCGTTAAAAGGGACCATACATACATACATACAAGGCTGAATTAACAAGGGAAGCAAGTGCGCGTGCGTGTGCGTGTGTATGTCCAGGTTGGGTGTGTAGTTCACATAAATAGCTGTTTTAGCTGGGTGGGGTGGTACATACCTGTAATCCTAGCACTGGGAAGGCTGAAGCAGGCTAGCCACGAGTTCAAGGCCAGCCTGGACTACATAGTGAGTTCAAAGCCATTCCTGAACTAAATAGCAACACCCTATCTCAAAACAACAACAACAAAAAACAGCTATCTTTTACATGACCGCTCCTTGTCCCTTTTGCATTTTATTGAAGGTGGAAAGAGGCAGCTAAACTAAATTGATTAGGGCCCCTGTCTGGTTTTGGGCTCATCAGCTTTCTCTTGGTCACTGCTCTCTCAGTAAAGTTTAACTCCTGGTCAGAAAGCCCAATGAAGCTCTTATTATATATATATGTATATTTGGGGGGGGGTCTGCCCACCCTTTTCCTCTACATCATGACCACTAACATGATTTAACACTCAACTCGTTTTTGTTCACTTAGCCGAATTACCATAAAGTTATAGCTAATATTTTAATAGTTTTTAAAGTTTGCATCCCAAGAGCTAAAGCCTACATATTTGGATAGATTTTTGGAATAAAAATAATTTAAGGATGTAATAAAAAAACTTAATGGCATGAGGTTGAAGTTTATAGTCCAATTTAATTCTGGTTGTTTGGTCAATATTCAGGCTGGATCCCAGTATCCCACTTCTGTGCTGCTTCTACAGTATATTAGCAGTGTCACATGAACAGAAGGGTTTCAGAGTCCTGGTACTTGGGAACCATTGAGTTGAATGTGTTTTATTACAGAATCTTACCTGGCCATACAGTGCTTTCTTCTGAGACTCACAGCACTGTGTTTATGGGACATACTTAGGAAATGCTGGCCTCTGATGGGTTCATTACTTGAAATTCAGTTGATACTGAATTCATTATCTTCAGGTAAGGTCAGTTTACTTACCTTGGTGCACAATCAGGCCTTCTCATTAAGACTTCTCATTTAAGGTGAAAACAGCACAGTGTTACACTGGCCAGACCATGGAGGTAATAAAGTCTATAGTTGTAGAATGTGTTATCTGAATCACATGAAGAACTTAAAAAAAAGTACATATGGCTGGGCACCTTATTAGGATGCTTTAATGAGGTCTGGGCATGTGCCCACAGAAAACTTGCCAGCTGGTCCTCAAATACAGCCTTTCATCAAGAAATTCGACTAGTGTTTGGGCATCAGTCAAAACCTACGTGTTCTTCATTCAGAACATATTAACCAAGTGCCTTCTCTGTTTCAGGGTCTCTTGACTACATATAAAGTTCAACAAGAAAATTCCAAGTTTTTCTTCCTTTGGCTTTAGTCTGCTGTTATGTTTTGGGTTTATATTTTTCCCCAAAGGCTCATGTGGTCATAGTGGAGCTTTTTCCAAGGTGGCTGAATCCTTGAATGTGTGATGCTGGGATTAAGGGTGTGTAGTTACTAAATCAGTACACTGATCCCAGTATCCCAGTATGCTGGATACAATATAAGGGGTCAGAAAGACTTGTCTTCGCTGTTGCTTGCTTGCTTGCTTTTGCTGTATTCTGCTTGCCATGAACTTCTTTGTGATAACCCTTTGCTAAGCCAATCTGCCTTGGAGCCAGCTGAACATGGACTGAAACCTCTAAACTGTGAGCTAAATAGACCTTTCCCTCTTTAACATTGGATGTTGGGTATTTTGTCTCAGCAATGAGAGAAAGGTAACACATCTGCCTTCTTCCATGGGCTGAGAGGATTATTGGCCTTTATTTAAAATATTTAAATTTTTGAAGTTTTCTCTTCTGAAATAGGTTTCCAATAAATACTTTTTTATACTTTGTATCAGTGTTCTTAAGCAGGGGGAGCAAAGAAAGGCAATCACGTATCAAGAGGTATGAAAAAATAAGTTCTAAACAAATTGATGTAAATAATCCATTTTATTTGCATTTTAAGAATACCTCCATTAGTAACCATTATCAAGCAAATACTGTATATCATGTATTTTTTTAACATTCTTTGAATTTTTAAAAGCCCTCATTTTACAGATGAAAAAAAGAAAGAGAAGTTAGACAACCGGCCGTTTTCTCTGCATTCTTGCCACCACTATTGCTCTTCAGATCAAACTAAAAATGAGGTGACTATAACAAATATAGGGTTGACAGGCAGGGTATAGGTGGTCTCCAAATAGCCTTTTGGTGTAAAGAGGTGTTATTTGAAAAAGGTTGTATTGTTGAACATGCGATTAATGTTTTATGATCTCTGGAGCTTTGATGGTCCTCATGCATTATAAACAACTAATGCGAATCTGTTTTAGGAAGATGCTTAAATTGCTATAAAGCTTACAAGTTACTAGAGATTCTACTCTAAACTGAACATGAAATACCTTGGTCTGGTAAAAATAACAAAAATAACTCAAGACACTTATCTCCTTGATTGAAAACTCCAAACTAAGCTCTGAAGCATCAGCAAAAATTTTAAGTAGAAAGTACAGCCAAATTAAACTGCCTTATCAATACCATACAAGGGACTTAACTGAGAACACACAGCCCAAGTGTTAAACATCAACCATTACTGGAAAATGACTGGAGATGACTATGAAAATGGCAGGTAAAGAAAACAAGAGAAAAATGGATAGTAAACTAAAAGAACAAAACCCCAGGAATTAGTAATGTGTCCTCACTAATAAAAGCTGTCTACTATAGTTTTATGATTACTCTGCTATTCATTGCCGTGAAGAAAGCATTAGTATATATAACTTTTATATATACAGGTGTAAATATATTGACCCTTGGAATTATCTACATGTAGCGTACCAGCAAAGAGGAACTAACAAGAAAGGAAAGAACTAGAAGAGAAGAAGCCAAGAGAGAGTTTCAAGGAAGGAATATAACAGGGCCAAAAGTAGCAAAGAGACCTAATAGAAGAACCAAGATGTACCCAATAGATTTGGCCACCAGTCACTGGTAGCCTAGAAAAAGAACAATTTCAGTATATTGTTAAGGGCATAAGCTAGTATACAGTAGCTTTAGGAAACAGAGGTATGAAATCAACTTTTGATTTATTCATCCTAACATGTACTGATTGGCTATTATGTGTTCACTGGCAGTTGGACAGGAGAGCAGAAACAATTTAAAATTTTTATCCAAGTACTGTGAGTTCTCTTGGCCTACGAAGTACTCAATGCTACAATTCACTCGTGTACTTTGCACAAATATTCAGTACAGTATAAGCCTTATGTAAAATATTTTCACAAAGGTACAACTGATCCATGGTTATACCCACTGGATTAATTTCTTCTTCAAAGATACCATTCCCTGTAGCCAGACTTGGGGCCATGAGGTCATTTGGACATTTCTGTAGCATAAAATTCTATCTTCTCAAAAGGAAAGTCCTTCCACTTTGTGTACTGTTTCTGGAGTCCCGTTACAATATCCTCCACCACAAAACTTTCAATCTTTATGACTGGAATCTCAAATGTCATGTATCTCCCATGTATTCCCCAGTCATGGCCACAGTTCTGTCTGGCACAGAATATCTTATCTTTCTTTTCAAAATTTCCATAGCTCCGTGGTTTGGGGTGTGGTTTACTCACAAAGCACTCCTTAAAAGCATCTCCAATCACAGTGTGATGAGATTCCTAAAATAGAATGAAGCAACATAAAGTCAGAAGCAGTGTATAATTGTAACTTTAGAAATCTCACATCTCACAATAATCTGAATTGAGCAAGTGGAATCCTTATTTTATATTTCAGTGTACTTTTTTTCCTCTCTTTCATTGAGTTTATTGGTACATTTTAGGTATACAGTACAGTTACATTCATCATTGGGATCTTGTATCTTTACATGACAGGTCTTGGTTCTCATTTTTTCCCCTTGTCCCTGCCCTCCCTTCACACCCCCTTCCCCATTTACACTTTATTTCCATTTTTTCATTTTCTCCTATTTTTTTCTTTCCCCTTATTACCTTTCCCCCTTTCCCTTTTCTTCCTATTTCACACGGTCAATTATCTCATTAGGATCTTATGTTTTATTATCTTATAGTTTTTCCACACTAGAGAAACTACTCGGTATTTACACATGTGTGACTTATTTATTTGACTTAGGAGTATATCCTCAATATGTATCCATTTTCCTATGAATGAATCTAATTTCTCATTCTTTGTGGCTGGTATCTTTCCAAAAGAATTAGAAGAACCCTACCACAGTGATATATACACACCCATGTTTATAACGGCAAAGTTTGTAATTGCTAAAACTTGGAAACAGCCCACCTGCCCATCAGTTGGAGACTGGATAAGGAACATGTTTTTTCTATAAAATGGAATCCTTATTTTACATTCGGGGGAAAGAAGGAAATAATGGAGGCACCTGTAGGAATGATTAGGACCCACTTACATTGTTCTCAACTTATGAACATTCAAGTTGTGAACTTTCACAGATCTTGGGTTACAAACATTGACAGATGTGAAAGTATCGCAGAAGTAGCTCACATGTCTGCCGGATACTGTCACACCTGTGCTGCTGTGTGCTTACTGTACAGGGCATGTGTCTGGGGTTTTTTTTTTCTTTACATTATATATTTGTGTCAAAGGTACATAAGACTCACTTTGTTGGACTTACAAAGGAATCCAGTTTATGAACTTGATCACTTACACAGCAGGGAAAGGAAGTACTTGTATACATTTGACTCAGTATCCCAAAATACCACTGTTTTACATACCTTAGTATATTTGCTAAGACTAAGAAATTAACATCAGTACATTACTAGTAACTAAACTATTTTTTCTACTAAAATCTATTTAGGACATAATTGAGGATACCACATTGCATGCAGCATAACAATTATTTTTAATAATAATTTAAGTGGCAGCATTTTTAAACTTTTTTATCTTTAATTGACACAATTGTATTGATATATGGGGCACAGTGTGATAATCTGATATATGTGTACAGTGGGTAATGATCAGAGTAACATTTCCCTTTCCTTAAACCTTTGTCATTTCTTTGTGTTATAAATCTTCAAACTCCTCATAATACAGTTAGAGACAATGGAGCTGCCTGAAGTCACTCTCTTTCACTCATTTAATTTTAGACAACACCTAGGGCCATTCCTCTTTCCATTGTCCTAAGAGAGGCAGAGAATCATATAATGAAAACCCAGTTTATCTCCGATATTCTAGATGAGGGAGCATATTGGATCCCATGGTCTGACCTCCAGTCACCTTCACCCCACTCCAACCTTACTACAATTCATGAATATGTACCCTATCTCATGCATCTAATTAAGATCGGTGTGAATCCTGAGACAGGCATGTGTGTTAGGAGCCCCTGAGAGTAGACACAGCACCCTGTCGATCATTCCTGTCAATTGTACGTAGAGATCCAGGGCAGGCACCTAAAATTTCAAAAGCCTGATTTATCTGGGGGCTGCTGCTGTGTGCTGTGATCTGTATGCAGAGCCTTTGCTTTTCTGTCATGGCAGCACCACCTTTTCTGTTCACGCCGTATCTGTTGTTGACATGGACTTGGCCTAAGCACAATTTCCTGTGATCCTCAATAAATGTAGCTGATTTCCACTTACCATTAGGTGGGCACTTGCAACACCTTGCTCAGAATACACAAGAGCCTAGATCATACCTGTTATATTCATCACATGATAACATTGTCAGTTAGTGCTGCATAAAATATGTAAAAATTACTGCAACTATAGTTATCCACTGTGCTAAAGAACATTAGAACTTCTCTTTCTAACAATATTTAGGTGTCTGTTATTTGGCCACTCTTTACTCACCTCCTCAATACCATTTCTAGCCTTTCATGATCAATATTCAATACTTCTGTAAGAGCAACTTTTTCAGCCTACATACATTAACGAGAGGGTGAAGAATTTCTGTGTACACTGACCATGGCCACAATAACTACTAATAGTATTTTTTTACATTTCACCAATAGACAGTAACCTTTACCAGTGCTAATAAAAAGCCAGGTGCTTTTTGTAAAAAGGCCGCTTACCTCTATCACTCGAATGTCAGCTGTATAACATGCCAAGACTTTGCACTTTCCACAGAGCAGTCTACTATTTCCCTTATCAGGGACAACTTTTGGTTTTGGATGACTATCTCTGATAAATTTTTCTTGATCCTGTATATGGCGAATCTACATATAGATACATGAATGTGATGATTTTGTATAGAAATATACATAATGAGTTTGTTTAAAACTGAAGGAGAAAGAACTTCTCAGATTAAGAAAACTAGTAATTTGTCACCAGCACACCTAACCTAAAATGAATGCTAAAGGAGATTTCAAATGCAATCGTTTCATAAAAAACCAAGATGAGAACAATGGTAGTAACCTTCTCGTGGGAGGTAATATTAGTTTATAACTGCTCAGGACTGCCTGGTGCAGGGCAGACACCCATAAGTGGTGCCCTTGGTCTGCCGTGCTCATCTTATGCTAAGAACCATGAAAATGCTAAGGATGTGACTTGTCCCTAAGTACTGTGCAGTGCAATCCCATTCATTACCTACTTTTTCAGAAGTATCACATCTGCTTTCATCTACTCTATATAAATTCATTAACTATTTTACCATGTTAGACATATCATTTATACTTTGATTATGGGATGTGATAAACCTATAAATGAATTTGGGATAAATGCATGAAGGAATCCAACTGCTGCAATCCTGATCAGAGAACCCTCCAAATCACCCCCTCCCAGCACAGGTGCACCTGGGGATTCCTAACATCAGCCCTGCCTCTGATAGCAACGACTACTCCCTGAGCTTTCCCAAGCCTTGTTATGGGGCACCCATTACCACTGTACTCTTTCAAGCCTGGTTCTTTTTGTTTTTGTTTTTTGAAACAGGGTCTCACTATGTAGTTGAGACTGACCTGGAACTCACTTTGTAGCCCAGGCTGGTTTTGAACTCACAGCAATCCTCCTGCCTCAGCGTCCTGAGTGCTGGGATTACAGGTGTGTGCCACAATGCCTCGCTCAAGCCTGGTTCTTAACAGAGAGCCACAAGCCCCTCTCACTGAACTTCTCCCTCCCCAGGACCCAAAAAAAGATGCCACAGCCTAGATGAGAGTTGCTGGTCTGCTCTCAAGTGCCAGAGCGATCCCTTTCATTTTTTCTGAAATAAAACTATCCTGTTGAGAGGTTTCTTCTTTTCCTTTTTCCTAACAGTGTACATCTTTAAAATATTCAGTCATTCCCTTCAAGAGTATTACATTTAAAAATCATATCACAGTGATATATGTGCACCCATGTTCATAGCAGCACAGTTTGTAATAGCTAAAACTTGGAAACAGCCCATTTGCCCATCAGTTGGAAACTGGATAAGGAAGATGTGGCTTTTCTATAAAATGGAATACTACTCAGCCATAAAGAATGAGAAATTAGATTCATTCATAGGAAAATGGATACATATTGAGGATATACTCCTAAGTGAAATACATAAGTCACACATGTGTAAATACCGAATAGTTTCTCTGGTGGGAAAAACTATAATAGTACATAAGATCCTAATGGGATAATGGACAATGTGAAATAGGAAGAAAAGGGCTAAAGGTGTAGGGAAAATGGGAAGGGTAGGGGAAAGGTAATAAGGGAAAAGAAAAAAATATGAGAAAATGGAAATAAAGTGTTTGTAAATGGGGAGGGGAGGAAGGGGTGAAGGGAGGGTAGGGACAAGGGAAAAAATGAGAACCAAGACCTGTCATGTAAAGGTACAAGATCCCAGTTATGAATGTAACTGTACTGTATACCTAAAATGTACCAATAAACTCAATGAGGAAAAAATAAAAAATGAAAAAATAAAATGAACAGTTGAAAAAAAGATTATTGCATTTATTTGTCTTAATTTTTTCTACATCTCCAAATAAAACTTAGAATTGTCCTATTTATGTTTCAAAATGTTCTGCTCAGGCCAGTAGAATAGTGGTTAAACAGACGGCCCTATCAGCTTCACTTCTAGCCATGTGATCTGCTAGCTCTAAAGCTCTTATGCCTCGGTTTCCCTCCTAGGCAGTGACACAGTAATCGATCCACAGCATCGATTTCTGAGAGACCAGTTGATATGTGGGGCCTGGTTGTGTCTGTTCTGCCTGTATGAGCTGCAGTTATTGTCAGTGTGAATGAAAAATCTCCCTCTTACATGTTCCAAATGATTACTAATCACAAAGAATTCACTGATTCCTACTGCACTTCAGACTCAAATTGATTTGCTTTTTTAAAAATTTAGACTTGGAGCTAGGAATGGTGACGCAGACCTGTAATCTCAGCAGTCGGGAGGCTAAGCAGAAAGATTGAAGTGAGTTTGAGGCCAGCCTGAACTATACTGTGAGGTCCTGTCTCAAAAAAACCAAACCCCACCCCCAAAAATTAGACCTGGAGAATTAAGAAAATGAAAATATGACTCCATCTCTCCACTTACTGACTGATCCTACCTGAAAGTATCTTGTTTTTGAAAATATAAAGTGTTCATGTCTCCCATTTTCAATCAAATTTTTCACTACTGTAAAACGATTATATTATGTATATTTATTGCATTATTTCTTTGGATAAATTTCTAGAATTAAAATTCTTAGGTTATATGATACACATTTCTGTATGAGTAATTTTAATTTTCTTTTTTCAGGCATGGGCGTAATCCCTACTTTCCGGCAGGATAGGGTCAAGAGAATGTGACAGAAAAGAGGGTAAAAATGTAAACTTTTCCCTTAAGCATCCAACTGTCTTTTCACTCATATCTAATGGTATTCAACTAAAATTTCAATTAAATAGTAATAATCTCAAGTATTTTTTATCTTATTTAGTTTATTGGTACTTTCTAAGTATACAGTACAGTTACATTCATCATTGGGCTCTGGTACCTTTACATGACGATCTTGGTTCTCATTTTTCCCTCTCTAGCCTTCCCTATTTACAAAGATTTTATTTCCATTTTTTTTCCTTTTCTCATATTATTTCTTTTCTTTCCTTTTCCCTACCCTTCCCACTTCCCCTACTCCTTTAGATCTTTTCTTCCTATGGGATTCACTGTTTTTGTTTGTTTGTTTTTTGAGACAGGGTCTCACTACGTAGTTGAGACTGACCTGGAACTCACTGTGTAACACAGGCTGGTCTCGAACTCACAGCAATTCTCCTGCCTCAGCCTCCCACGTGTGTCACCACACCCGG